CGGCCGAGAGAACATGTATCCTTGGTCATGGAGGAGTCAAATCCTCCATGACCGAGGGTGTATCCTCGGTCTTGAAGCAGTCAAATCCTCCATGACCGAGGTGGTATCCTTGGTCATGGAGAAGTCAAATCCTCAATGACCGGGGGTGTATCCTCGGTCATGGGGGAGTTGAATCCTCCATGACCAAGGGTGTAACCTCGGTCATGGAGGAGTCAAACCCTCCATGACCGAGGGTGTATCCTCGGTCATGGAGGAGTTGTATCCTCCATGACCGAGGATACATACTCAGTCATGGAGGTTTCTCTCCTGCATGACCAAGGGTGTATGCTCGGTCATGGAGGAGAAGTACCCCAGACGGCCCGGCCAACTAACCTGGACCGGATGGTACCCCCAACGGCAGCCGGTCGACGCCGAACAGTAGTCAGCTCATGTTTCTCCCGGCTGATGAGAGTGTACACTCTCATCAGCCAAGAGTGTTTCTCTCGGCCGCTGAGGGTGTGCCATCAGCGGCCGGGAGGATTCCTCCCGGCCGTTGCGGGCCCTTTTTGGTAAGCGACACCCAAAACCCAGTGGGTTTTGGGACATCGACCCCCAACCCCTTCGGGGGTTGGCCTTTTTTTTATTAAAATTAGTGGGTTTTTGACTCCCAAACCCGCTGACGGGTTTGGGGGATCGACTCCCATTCCTCGGGGAATTCGGTGGAAATTCCGGGGGTTTCGGGGTTTGGGAGTCGATCCTCCACTTTTTGGGAGTCGATTAGCTAAGACCCTAAAATCTTGGTATTTGGCCCCAGATTGGACTTTTTACCGAGCCCCCCCCCTTTTTTAGGGGATTTTAGCCTGAGCATACTCTTGAAAAGGTATGAATTTTCCAAAAAAATGTGACTCACTGCAGGGCCCCAGGTATGTACAGTCTCCTCCCAGATGTTTATAGCCATCTGTTTTGAGCTCCACACTGGGAATCCAAAAGCTTTAAGTCACAAGAGCTCACGGAATGTCAGAAAATGTGTTTGAAAGAATGAATATGAAAACATAATAAGAAAAAAACAAGATTTTGAAATTTGTGAAAAAGATAAAAGAAAATCAACTTTTTTTCAAAAACTTTAATTTTTTGTTTGAGTGAAAAGTGAACACACAGAGGGCAAGTTTGGAACATGAAAAGAATGATTATAAATGAAAAATATTGATCCAAAAAAAGTTTGAGCATGGTTGGTGGACACCCTGCAGTCAAAATTAGTAGATTGCAGTACCAGAATTCCACATTTCTTGATGAATGACCCCCTAGGCACCCTTTTTAAACCACCAAGTAGTCATTTTTATCCAAATTTTCACTTCTTATTATTCATTCCAGATCTCATACTATAACTTGGGAGATTTCATCTTTTCCTTCAAGAAATATCAGAGCTGTCCGTTTTTGTGATTTTCTCATTTTTACTTTTTACAACTTTCATAATCTTGTTTATCATCATTATTTTTTCATATTCATTCTTTGAGACCCATTTTCCACCATTCCACAAAATCTTTTGACTTGAAATTCTTGAGTTCCTGGTGTGGAGCTCAAAACAGATGGCTATAAACATCTGGGAGGAGACTGTACTATGAATTTTGCCAAAATTTGGACTTTTTCAACACCCCCCTATCCTAGGGCTTGCCGGGGTCCTCTTCAAGCCTCCCCCATGCCTATTCCACCCACATGCAAAACATGGAAAGCTCTGGCCATATTTTTCTAACTCACCCCCTCCACACTTGCCAAACTTGGACACATAATGGATGACTTCCTGTCACAATCTTGTACAACCCTCCCAGAAGTTGATTTACACCCCTTAGATCTAAATTTTTTATCAATTTTTTTTTTCCTGAAGCCTTCTGGTAATAGCTCTCACATGAGCTGGTTGGAATGTTCATTGTGTTCTTAATTTAAGACTGAGAAAGGTCTAAAAAGCACTCTAAACCACCATGGGAAGTCCTCCAATAGTACTGGTTGACCTAACTGAAACTGCATATTATCAACATCCTGCTTGATACAACTCACTTGTGTCGAAGATGCTAGAAGCCAATCTTAATCCATTGGGCATCTTCCAAGGCCCAAAGGACATGCAGCGAGTGATTTGGCAATCATGCTGATGAGCTGGGAACATGGGCAGTGTATAGAAAGATAGAGAACAGCAAGGCAATCAAGAAAATCAAAAAATAGAACAATTCAATCATAAAAAATTGTGTCAGGATGATTATGAAAATGTCCCAGCCAAACTTTCTAATGCTCTCAGCCCGCGGGGTCAGCTTCAGACATAAGTCCCTCCCTCCGGTCGGCCGAGCTTGTACAGCCTCTCCGTCGAACGCACGAAGTGCGGGAGAGGCTTGAGCCCAAAACAAACACGCTTGCGTGTCACGGTCAAGTTTTTTGGCTGTTTTTTGCGCCAAAAATCCTAGGAAATCCAGCTTGTAAATTTTTTGAAAACTGAGTTGAGGTGAAGATGCCCAATATGGTGGTCTTGACTTCCATCAAGAAATTTTTGAAAAAAATCAAAAACTACACAATTGAAGAATTTTTAAGGAAAATTTGCTAAATGAAAAGTTGGCTGAGCTTACATAAGCCTGTTTCAACCTCACTGCCTACCAGGTGAGAACATTTCCTCAATTTGACCAACTTGAAAAACATCCACCTCATCCAATTTCCAAGATAAAGCTCTGAAAATTGGATGAGGTGAGAGGCATCACCAATCTCTAAAACCTCATCTACTCAAATTCTAAATATCTGGTCATGTGCATGCTGTACATCCAGCTCAATGTGTGTTACACCAAAACTGCCCAACCGTGACACGCGGGCATGTTCGCTTTTGTCCTAAGTCCCTCCTTCGGAGGCTCGCGCTTCGCGCGAGTGGCGTTCCACGCCAGCCAAGGCCACCAGGCCCTCCGAAGCGAGGGACTTTGATAAGTTCGCCGGTCGGCACAATGCAACAGGTGGTGTACCACTCCAACAAAGGAGGGTAGGGACTTAGTTAAGTTAGAGTTTAGTTAACCTGAAAATCTAGCCAACAAATGTGAATGCTCTTATAAAAAGGAGCCAATCTGCCGTTTGTTTCTAATCGAGAGAATTTCCCTCCACCACCCACACACTGACTGTCTTGAAGCCCCCTACAAGCTTGGGACACCCTAGGCAGTTAAGAAGACCCCCCCAAAACCCACCACATATTAGGATTGTCTGGATGGATAACAGAGGAGTGAACAGAATGATTGATGTACATATTCCAATGAGAATGAAAAACACAGATCCAAGAAGAGACTATAGAGCACACGTTCTACGGCAAAGGATACCCTTGCAGCGATCCGTGCCAGATGAGACATGAGAGATACGCATGATAACAGCGAGCCAGTCGACCCCGACGACCTCAACCATCATCGTAGGAACCTCATTCTGGGACTCTTCGCTCCGTCTCTTGGTCCTCCCAAGCTCCAATCGGACCTTCGTGCTGCTCTCCAAGCAGAAGGCCCAGATCAGGATATCGGTGTGGAGTGGGTTGTTTCGAGGATGATGACTCGAAGACGGGGGTCGATCTGAGCCGGTTCTCTTTAGATCTTCTTCTGCTGAAGATCTCACCAAGCCCGGCTACCATCGCTCAGTCGACCTGGGTTGGTTCTTCCAAGTGCCTGTTCTGGAAGCCGTCGAAGCTTGGAGCGGATGGATGGCGAGTTTAGGGGTGATGATGAGCTGAGGGGGATGGATGGTGATTGGGATATTCTGGAGGGTGCGCATGATCGAGTGGATGACTTCCGCCGTCACTGGGAATGGGATCGTCGTCGTCGTCGTCGTTGTGGTTGTTGATCGAGGATGTGGATTGGATGGACAACTTGCGGGGAGCAGGACTAGGTGTCGACTGAAGCCCTGGTAAGCTCGATCGACAGTCAGCATCAATCGATCGATCTGATTGTGGGGGGAGGGGGACTCAACTTCCGAGATGTCGGGCGATACCCATTCTTTGTTGGAGATGGATTTCAGGACCCGGATTCCTTCTTCGAACGAATGGATGGTCTCGTGTCCAGTTCGATACCGGAGCCGAGTGACACATTCCTATAAGTCAAAGGGAAATCTCCATTTAGTCGATCCTTATTCTTTTTTTTTCTGATAGATGTTGGTGATGGTGATCTGAGGGGATAGATACCTCGAATGGGGTCGCGAACTCGATCAGATCGCATTCGACCCTAAGCTTAACCGCAATATCGTCTTGGCCCTCCTGTTGTTGTTGTTGTAAGAATTCTTCGATCTCTTTGGCGATCCTTAGCCAGGTGAGTCTCTGTTTCCGGTCGAAGTTTTGTCGATCGATGATGATTGATTTCCCCTGTAAAAAGTAATGAATTAGTGTTTGGAGAGATAAGTATGTATGATGATGTGTTTGTAATGTACTTCTTTGAGACATCTCCTGGCCCTCGATTCGCATGCCTGGCGCTTGCCCAAGACGTCCTGACAGATCCTTACAAAGTTCTATTTGTTGAGGTGGTCAACCTGAATCCTTTTTTTTTTGTTTGTTTGAGAATTGCTTACTGGATTAGCTTGTTCTAGTTGGGTAGCAAAAGTCGACTTTCCACTCCCACTGTTTTTTCGGATGAAATGGTTGATGATTAGTTTGGATGAATATGTAGACAATGTTCTTAGGAATGTACTGACACCCATCCGGAGAGGATCAATATTCTTGGTGGGGTTGGTTTGCTGTTCTGTTCTTCTTGGATCATCGGTATGTATTTGGTGTTTGGTTGTGTTTGATTTGGTTCGCTCGGGTTTCTCGGCTTTACCCTCAACACAGTCGATCATATACCCGCGATTAACTTCCCCCTCAATAAAGAACAACCCAGCGATATGAGACTCGGCTTGGGCACTGGCCACCAGCTCATCCGACAACACAAACTCATCAGCAGACTCACAACAACAACAACCACACTCTCACTCATCATCAACCCAACAACAACAACAACAACAACAACAACAACAAACTACCAACACCCATTCCTCATCAACAACCATCCAATCTGCCCAATCCCACTCAGACTAAACAACAACAGATCATTCTCCATGGCAGCCCAATCAACCACCATCCAACCACCACAACCACCACCACAATGGGATCACACTCCAGAACAGATCATCACACTCACCAAACAAGCCATCCAGGACTCAAGAGACCTACTCGACTCAATCGCAGCAACCAAACCTGACCAGGCTAACTTCCCAAACCGTCATCCTCCCATTAGCCGACAATGATCTCCTGACCACCGTAGCCGAAATACTAGTGAGCAGCAATCCCAGACATTTAAAAACAAACTCATTACCATACTAACTTAATCCTCTAAAAAGACTTTCTATCAATACGTATCACCAGAGGAGGCGCTCAGAACAGCTGCCGTCGAGGCCGACAAGATCATCCAAGAGTACGACCTCGAAGTATGCTCGCGGATGGACGTCTACGAAGCCCTACTGGCTGCACAGAAGAACATCAACCCCGACAGTCTCGACGACGAATCCAAGAGACTGATCGAAAAGCTCCTCATCGAACGCACTAGGAATGGCCTGCATCTCGACCAGGACAGTCGCCAGAAATTCAACCAGCTCAAGAATAGGATCAACAACTTGGCCATCGACTTCCAGAAGAATCTCAACGAGGAACAGGGAAAGATCTGGTTCACCCCCGAGGTACATCCATCCGATCAGCACACCCGAGTTCTACCCACACTGACTGCTTGCTTCTACTCAGGAACTCAAAGGCGTCCCAGAGGACATCCTCTCTGGATTTGAGAAAGATGATCAAGGCAGACTAGCCATGACCTTCAAAACCCCAGATTATACGCCAGTCATCCAGGTAAGTGAACACCTCCCCCCCCACAAAAAAAACACAAAATTTCAGAGGACTCCAAGATTGAATTGATCAATGGTATGACCAGTATGCGATCGTACCAGAGACCCGTAAGCGGGCCTCCCTGGGCTACGACTCACGCGCGGCGATCAACGTGCCGATCCTAGAGGAGATCATCTCGCTCCGTCGAGAGGCCGCCACCGCCCTAGGCAAGCCCAACTGGGCCGCACACGCCCTCGAGATCAAGATGGCCAAGAAGACCGAGACCGTGTTCTCCTTCTTGAAAGACCTCCGCCAGAAAATCACCCCCGTCGCCCTCAAAGAACGCCAAGAATTGCTCAAGATCAAGCAAGAGGAAGTCCAGAACTTGGGGCTGGATACCGATCCCACCAAGTTATACGTCTGGGTATGTCTCCAAACAAAAAAGAAAGAAAGAAATTATTACATCAAACTAAAAAAAAAATCAATCTGGTTGATGTAGGATTACCGATACTATGATCGACTATATACCGAGCGAAACCTGGACCTGAAAGCCGAGCTCGTCAAGGAATACTTCCCAGTCTCGGTGGTTGTCGAGGTGATCCTGGAGACCTACCAAGCGCTGCTCTCGGTCAAGTTCTTCCAAGTCAAGGACGCCAAGCTCTGGCACCCCAATGCCACCCAATGGGCCGTCTGGGACTCCGAGGCGGTCGCCGATGGTCGCGCTGAAAAGGGCGAAGGGTTCCTGGGCTGTCAGTTTTTTAACTTGAACTCGTAATTCTAAGAAAGCTGCTAATTTTTAACGTTTGGGGTTCTGTCGTAGATTTACATTTGGATCTCGAACCCAGACCGAATAAGTATGGACATGCCGCCGTCTGGGGGCTCGTTCCGGGCTACGAAAAAAAGGACGGGACCCGCCACTATCCAGTGGCCGCAATGCAAGCTTCTTTTTTCCGGTTAGATTGCGCTTGTCGAACTCACTTGTGTCTGTTTTTTCTTTTCCTTTAGGGTGGCTAACTTGGCTAAAGGCACGGCACAGAAACCTGCCTTGCTTACTCACGATAGCGTTGTCACTTTCTTCCACGAAATGGTCTGTCTTGTCTCCTGTACATCGCTTGCTGCTCGACTAACCCTTCGGAAAATAAATACTACTCTAGGGCCACGTGTTTCACCAATTATGCAGCAAGACCAAATGTAAGATAAAGAAATCTCGGTCGGATTGAAGAGGGATGAACTGATGGAGAATGTATGTAAAACAAAAGATGGACGATTCCATGGGACGAGTGTGGCGCGAGACTTCGTCGAGGCGCCGTCGCAGATGCTCGAGAATTGGTGCTGGACCGAATCTCAACTGGTGAAGATGTCGCAACACTATCTGCGCAAGGACGAGAAGCTGCCCAAGGAGCTGGTCCAAAAGATCATCGCCAGTCGCGACGTTAATTCCGGCTTGTTCAATCTTCGTCAGATCTTTTTTGGAATGTCCGTTTTCTTTCTTCACTTTGTCTCGTTGGGATCGGATCGGATGGGGGCTGACTCCGTGTGTGATGGATGGACGACGGTAGGTATGATATGTATGTCCATACTAGTACAGACACTCTCGACTTGACGCGTCATTGGTGCGAGTCGAGAGACGAGATCTCGTTGGTCGACTCGGATCCTGCCATGCTTTCCCCTGGCCAAAGCTCCTTCGGCCACATCGTCGGGTCCGCTCTCTTTTCTTTCACTCATCTAGATCAAGCCCCTCTTTTTTCTTTTTATAATCCTTGTTCATCTGACCTCTTGTTTGCTCATTTTGACCTTTTTCTTAGTGGGTATGACGTGAGTGTTTCTTTTTTTTTTTGTCTGGTTTTTTTAGGCGGTTGAGATGACTGATCTGGTACGGATTGGTAATCAACACTTTATAAATCAAGGCTGGATACTACGGTAAGAGATAGATCCCTACATCGATGACTGCAACAAAAGCTTATAATGACGAAGATCGAATCCCAAACCAATTACCATGACATTTTTTTTTTGCAGGGTACTTATATTCGCAAGTCTTCTCGGCGGACATGTACGAGAGTGTGTTCTCGGCAGATCCGATGTCGGCCAAGATGGGGGCCCGGTACCGCGACGAGATCCTCCGGCCGGGCGGGGCCAGGGACGAGATGGTCAGTCTGACCAAGTTCCTTGGAAGGCCGCCGAACGAGCAGGCGTTCTTGAAACGTCTGCTTCGGAATCAAGTCTGAGCACAACAACAACAGTCAGAATCCGATATGCGTATATCGATCTATCGTCGGTTTGAGGTTCTTTTTTTTCATCAGCGGGGTTCTTTTATGATGATCGTTTTTTTTTTTTTTTGGTCCCTCTCGTCCGTAAATGAAGTGAATAGCTGAAGCAGATTGTCGCAGTAGTAGCATAAGCAGTACTAGCACTCTTGTCGTTCCTCCTCCTGCTCTTGCCCATCCTCGTCGTTGTCGTTATCCTCGTCCTCTCGTCGGCTCAAATCCAGTGCATTTTCTTTGTGTATCTTCTGCCCTTACATAGTTTTCTAGTGTCTCGTTGTTTCTTCCTCCCCCTCCCCTTTTTTTGGCTTAAAAGAAATAGCTCATGGTGCGGTTTGCACAGTACATGAAGTTGTTCCAGGCGGTTTTATGGTTTCTTTCTTCAGTTGGGTTGTGCAGAGTCTCATTCATCTCATAGAGATGGAGTCCATAAGCAAGCCACCCGTCGCGAAGCGTCTTTCTCAAGTCGGTACATTACTAAGGATCAATGACCCCGTGTGGATTTTGACATTCGCCCGAAGCTGCAAGCTCGATAATCAGCACCAGACAGAAACCGGTCGATGACCGCGTTGCAATCCGGCTGCTCTCGGGGCTAAGTGGTCCGGCCACTCTCAGGCTTCGTACTCGAGCCCCACACACGATATCAGCATCGATCTAAACGGCGCAGGATCTGTTTCAGCATCATCATCCTGCGATAAACTCTCCCATCACATAGCAGCCGGGCTTTCGTTAGGCGCTAAAAGTGTCCTTGGTAGGAATCACAGCTGAGAATCTTGAAAGAACGCTTTCCGCGAACTTTGATAAAGTGCTTGTGTACCATAACAAAACAAAAGGAGATGTTTGAGGTTTCGAGACTCTTGCAGTGGGGACTGTGATGGCTCTGTGTATTTATGTATGTGCACCCACGTTTTTGTCTCTTCCCGAGGGCTCGCTCTGTACCGGTAGATAAACAAGTACACAGACCGGCTCCCCTAAAATAGGTGACGTGTCTCTGTTTGTTTTGTGGGGCAGAGGAGGAGGGAGGATTTCTCACTTGCAACAGCGATATAAATGGATGTACACCTTTTTTAAGCTCTTTGATCTCCGTCCATACTCTTTAGTCATCAATCTCTGCTGTATATGTATCCTTCGAGATAAGAAACTAAAACGTTGGGCAAGGCTATCTAATCACCAAGCGCTTCATGTTTGGTGGCAAGTAGGACCCAGTTAATAGTTATCGTTCTTGTCTTATCGTCAATGAGTTGTATTAACATCAATCGGATGGCTTCGTATTCCTCCAAAGAAATTGATGATTGTACACCCTATCTGACAGTATATCGACCCGGGAAATGTCTGGAGACTCGGGCAGGCTGAGAGACTCCTGTCATGAAGGAGTCTGTTACATCGCCCAGCCGCAAGGTCAGACTCAGACGGAGGATAGGAATCAGGATATAAAGGCTCTCTTCCTTACTGCATCAAGCCCAATAAGCCATCCTATTCACTACGTTTATCTGTGCCCAAATTATCCTAAGTAGCACCTCTTGATAGGTCATTATCATTTTCACCTTTAACACAAATAGTTGAAGTAAAAATCATAGTAAAAAAGAGAAATGCCTCTCATTCCAGCCAAAAACTCTTCCTCATCTTCCGGCAGAAGAGGGTTCTCAGTCATGATCTTTGCGGCGCTCCTGCACAGCTTTCTGCTGCTCCAAGTGTGCTGTCTTCCGTCGCAACCGCTCATGCAGCAGGACTTTGGTACGCTCGCCTGCTCTATCAGCTCAGCCCGACGCAATCATAAAGGACTAATCAGACCACATCCTTCGTTCTACTCTGATGAATCATATGTGTAGCCCGGGGGGCCGAATCGATCCAGGCAGCGATCGACAAGACTGCCCCAGAAGCGGTGCCGAGGGCAAGGGTCGTCGCCAAACCTGGTAAGAAATCATATGAGGTTTTTTTTTTCTTGGGGGGGGGGGGGGGGGGTGATCACAGATTAAGCACTTCAGCCTGATTCCTTCCATAACGTTCATCTCCATAGATGCGCAAGCCGTGGTTTCAAGGAAAGAAGTCCCGGATAGACTGTCTCCTTTAAGCAGACCGGGCAGCAGCTTCAATCCCGCAGAACACACCGGATCGTCCTGGTATTAAGCGACGTCCCAAGCCCGCTCCACCCGCGCTCCATCGCGACAAACATCCTTCCTGACCTCTATCGCCCATGTTCACTCGCTTACGATCTTCGCAAACACACACACACACATCTACACTCTTTTTTTTGTCACTCTTTCAGCTTCTTTCGATCGTGCTTTCTGGGGGAAAAGGAGCACGATGTTTGTTGTAGCCATGATGGGAAGAGATTTCGGGCGGTTGTTTGTTGGATTTCCGGTGTCTTTGCAAGATGCTCTTTCCCACACAACCATATACGTACTCGAGATGCTCTGATCTTATAATCAATCGCTCTAACTAATAAGCCGCCTTTGCAAAAAAAACCGTCCCATAATACGCATGACTATTGCGTTTCAGGATTGGGGTCCAAAAAGAAGATCCATGTGTTGAAGTGGTCAATCTGTGAGACAGGCTCTGTAATATTGATTGGGTCTGATCTGGGTCTTGAGATTCTTTCCTGAAGGAATGGGGGCGAGTCAATGGACAGCTTCTTAAGTGAAGTATACTATAAGTAATGCCGTGTGAGCACATCATCATGGGGCTGTGTATACTTCCATGGAGCACAAGCAATTGTCAACATGAGCTGAAAGAAGCTAAATTGAGAGTGTCCATGCATATCGTTCATGTTAGAGATAAATGAGCTACTTCGACTATCCATACTTCGAAATTGGACGCTATGAGCAGCATAATGAAGCAGGAGAAAGACAAGAGATAAGCTTGGGTATGTCTGAGCAGATTGAAAATGTAAGTTGCAATAATGATTTTTTTTACAATAGGTTATTGTGGATCAAATGGAAGTGGAAAGCTGATTAACTATGTTTCAGCTCTGCTTTGTCCTTGACCTTTATCAAAAGAAGAAGAGAGTGCCTCATGTTTGTGGCCTTCCTTATCATCAACTCGACAAGTATAATTCCCTCAATTGATAACTTTGATAAGCTGTGCTCCAGTTGAAAGATCAACATTGCCAAAATGTTTCATGTACTTTTGTTCACACAGAATCTTATAAGAACCTAATTGGAAACAGGATTCAGTAATCCATACTGAAAAAATGTGCACATTGATGATTCTGGATCTCATCTATGTTGGAAAGCAGGGACTGCACTCTGTAAGCTTTCCAAAATCAACTGACCCTTCATGATTGAGTTGAAGATGTGTTGATTGTTACAAAGAAGATCTGAAGAGACAGAAAATGGGGCCGGGGAAGGAAAAGAAAAACATGATCAGAGCTAATTTAGTTTGCTTCAAAAGAACGTTCAACTTAAAAACCTTGAATATTCTAGACAAAAACAAGGATGGGCAGTAGAACAAACAAAAAGAACAATGTATGGATATTCACAAAGGCTAGAGAGGGGTTGACTACAATTCCAAAACTTGCCCGTTCTTGCCCGTTTTGAATCAACTTTATGATCAAAGCAGAAAGCTTATGTTTGATGTACTAGACATTCTTTGAGTATTAAGTGAGAAAGAATTGAAGCAAATGTTTAGAAGCAAGAAAGTGTGCATTGTTGAAATGACAAGTCCAATTTAAGATTGAAGGGAAGTTTTAAAAGACTCATGGAGGGGTCTGTATAAATAGATGGATTTGTTTGTTTAAATTAAGCATGATTGAATATCATTAAGATAATGTAAGGGTAGCTGGATATTGAACATGATTTCAGGGGTTGTCCTTCCCTGCTTTCCTTCTTTTGTTATTTTCTCCTATCTCTGCCAGCTTAATAGCATATATATACTGTGTTGAGAAAATGATGGTTAAATGTCCTTCCTTAAATTGTTCTTCCCTTTTTCATGTGCACAAGGAAAATAAAAAAATTCATTTATTGAACTTAACATGATTATGAAGCTCACAGAATTAGCAAATTTTCAGATTGTTTGGGGCTTGGAGATCCCAATTTTATTTGTCTGTTATTGAGCATTGGATGCGTTTTGCTTTATTGATATCAAAGAGATCTGTCCCAAGCCAACCGCTCCCCTTGGTGCTGAATTCTTCCTTACTCAACCTTGGAGTCAAGGGCAAGAAAAGACATACATAATTGGCATCGGAGTGAAAACCGGACTCTGGGTTGCTCTCAGCTCTGTTGTATCCAATGTAGAGACAGACAAAATGAAGATGTGTCTGGTGAGAGTCGAACTCACGACCTCAGCTAAGCTGAGACACATACTAGAGTGCTGCCTTTACCAACTAGGCTACAGACGCTTGTGACTGCCACCACGGTCATTTGCGTGTCGCCGCGGATGTAACCGTCACCTTGACGAATCCGCGTGCGTGACTGCGGCAGTAGGCGCAGTGACTGCGCACGAAACCCCCAATGAAACCCCCAGATGTCGCTCCGCGCGGGAGCGACATGCAATTGTCCGTGGTGTGCCAGGGTTGTTGGGTGGTAGTGATCATGGTTCGACATGTAGTGATACATCATGGTAGCAGACTAGCAGACACCTCAACACCCCCCCTTGCTACATGATGTGGAAGTGGGAATGAGACCCAACAAATCATGATCAGAGTGGGAATTGAACCCGTGACCTTGGGTAGTCTTACAGGGGAAGTTTTGGTCTTACAAGTAAGCATTCACAACTTCATCTGGTCTCTGTTGTAAGCGGGTTGCGCTTAGGTAGGCCCTGGGCTCATAACCTGTTGAGATGAACACCCTGGAGACATGTGTGTTGGAAAGGATAGGTGTTTATTTCAACATGACAAAAGAAAGAAAAGAAAGAAAAGAGAAATGACCATACCTGGAGACATGTGTGTTGGAAAGGATGAGGAAAAGGAAATCCACCCAGCCACACATGAATCCAGTATATGAACTGAGAGCACAGATAACTGAATGTCACAGAGTGTGACATGAGAGAAATGGAAGAAGTGAAAGAAGGAAGAAGCACAGTAACTTCTGTGAACATGTGGCGGTCAATGACATGTCACGGTATCTCAACACCCCCCCTTGCTGATGACTGAACTCAGTGGAGAAAAGATACAACAAACAAAAGAGAGAGATAAAAAAAATTTAGACAAGACCGAACATGAGACGGTGTTTTTCCAGTAGAACGCGGGGAAGAGGTTTAGTGAGCATATCGGCAAGCATGTCGTGTGTGGAAACGTGGACGATTTCGAAGATGTTGTCCCTAACGCAGTCGCGCACAAAGTGATATCGGGCATTGATATGCTTAGTTCTGGCGTGATGCTCTGGGTTGTTGGCAAGAGCTTCTGCCCCTTCATTGTCAACATGAAGTGGAAGAGCTGATCTAGGTCGAATGGATAGTTCCGTGAGTATATTGCGCAGCCACAGCCCTTCTTTGCAAGAATCTGCCAGAGCTTTGTATTCAGCTTCAGTGCTGGACAAGGAGACAGTTGCCTGTTTGCGAGATTTCCAGGAAATAGCCCCGTCACCGAATCTGTAGGTGTAGGCTGAAGTGGAACGATAATCTTGACGATCCTCGGCCCAGTCTGCATCGGAGTAACCTGCACAAGTCAAAGAACCACCCAGGCGTAGGCGGAGAGATTTGGTGGAGGCTAAGTAGTTGAGGATTTTAACTGCTGCAGACCAGTGAGAAGAAGAGGGATCACGAAGGAACTGGGACAGTTTGTTGACGGCAAAGGAGACATCTGGGCGTGTACATTGAGCAATCCACAGAAGAGAACCAATGAGCTGTCCGTAGGGACCAGGTGAAGGGTCTTCATCGGCGGTCTTTCTGACAAGATCCTTGAAGAAAGAGGAGGTAGGTGTCCTGGTAGGCGTGTGGGTACCGTCGAGGAACCGAGAAACCATGTCATCGACATAATGACCTTGAGACATATAGAGGAGCTTGTTTTGACGGTCACGAGTGATTTTGATAGAGAGAAAGTGGTGAAGATCTTAGAGAAAGTGGTGAAGATCTTCATCTGCCCCAATCTTGAACTGGGCACCAAGGCTGGAGATGGTAGAGTCGACAAAGGAATCTTCCCCAACAACGGCTAGATCATTGACGTGGACAGTTATAGCCCCTAGAAGTTTTCCATTGTGGACTTTGAAGTAAAGGGTAGGATTGTATTTGGACTGAGTGAGACCGGAGTCGAGAAGTGCTTGATGAAGTTCCCGATTCCATTGGCGAGGGGCTTGTTTTAGACCGTAGATTGACCTGTGGACTTCACAGACAAGATCAGGATGATTTGGATCCTCAAAACCGGGAGGCTGCTCCATGAAGATAGGTTGGTCAAGGTGACCGTTGAGGAAAGCAGTCTTGAAGTCCACCTGTCGACCCTTCCAAGACTTCGATGCCAGGAGACTGCAGATAAGACGGAGTGTTTCAAGACGCAGAGTGGGTGCAAAAACCTCTTGATAATCCATGCCACGCACTTGTGAGTACCCCATGGCAACTAGCCGAGCTTTCAACTTTTGGATAGACTTGTTAGGGCGACGTTTCACTTTGAAGACCCACTTTGACTTGATGATCTTACGCTTCGACGGCCGGGGAACCAGTTTCCATGTGTCCATACCAAGAAGAGAAGAGAACTCCTCATCTGCCGCTTGGAGCCATTTCGCCTTGTGCGGAGATTTCTGGAGTTGACGCCAAGTTTTAGGGGTGTCGATATCATCTAGGGGAACAGTAGAAGACTTTGCCCAATTTCCATAGCGTTCTGGAGCCTTTCTGACACGTCCAGACTGCCTGACCGGTGGAGAAGGAGGACGTGCAGGAGCAGACGGTGGAGCAGGAGCAATTGGCGGGGGCGTGGGAGGTCGCGAGACAGGGAGGGGAATAGATGCCGGAGACGGGACAACCTGAGGTTGAGCAATATTAGCAGGCGGAAGAACCGTTGGAGGTGATGGAGCAGGGAGAGTGAGAGGAGGGATGTTGTCCATGAGGGACGAGACCGGGGGACGCAGAAAAGGGGACGGGAGCGGGATGGGCGAAGGAAGACCAGACAACTTACCATCATCATCAGAGTCACTGGTAATTGGAGAGATGGGGATAGGTGGTGTTGGATCCCGATGTTGCCTGAAAGATTGAGGCAAAGTTACACGTGATGGTACGACGGCAGGAGTCTGCAGAGGTGACTGGGGGACTTTCGGTGCAGCAGGTATGACAGCTGGTGGTAAAGCAGCGGGTGGAGCGGGGACAGAGGAAGAGAGTGGCCAAGGGAGATCAACAATGATGGTCGGAGCTGGACCAGTGATTTGATGATCGTAGGGAAAAGTAATATCGTTGAAGATTGTATCCTGAGTCTTGATTGCCTTTCTAGTCTGAAGATCCCAAACTCGGTATCCATTACCATCGTCGAGATACAATAGGAAAATGGCCGCATGTGCCCTCGGATCAAGCTTCTTCTGGGTCGCGTCAGGGACTTTGTGCCAGACCAAACAGCCAAAAGGATGAAGAGACTTGAAATCAACGGGGGGAATACCCAGGATGGAGTTGGGGGAGTGGAAACCTGAAGGCGTGTTACAGGGGATAGAGTTGAAGGCGTGGAAGATGTGGCGCATGGCGTCCGCCCAAAAAGTTTTGGGGAGTTTAGCGGTGAGTAAAGAGCAGCGAATGAGGTTTCCCACCGTGCGATTTGTCCTTTCAGCGACACCATTTAGCGCCGGAGAGTGAGGTGGGCCAGGTTCATGGCGAATTCCAGATGAGAGGAGGAATGACTCAAAAGCCTTTGAAACGTACTCGCCTCCATTGTCAGAGCGGAGAGAGAGAATTTGAAACTGTCCATTCTTTTTGAAGAAGGTCTTGAAAATTTTGAAGCAGGGAAAAACATCTGATTTAAATTTCATTGGAAAAATTGAAACAAATTTTGAACAATCATCGATGAAAGTGACAAAATATTTGTAGTTTTCACGAGATGCGACCTCAAATGAACCAACATCAGAGTGAATGAGATGACCGGGAAACTGAGAGCGATAAGAAAAGCAAGATGTAAAAGAAATACGATGCATCTTTGACTGTATGCAGATTGGACATTGAGTTACTTCAATATCGTTTGCCAGAGTTGGTACAATGCCAGCTTGACGGAGGAGACGTTTTAGAGGCTTCAGGCCTATGTGAGAGAGTCGGACGTGATAATCCAAGAGTGAGCTCCCGCAAGAAGGTGACAGAGCTGAAACAGCTGATGAGGAAATGGCTGATGAAGATCTTACCTCATTCGAAGGAAGGTAGAATAAGTTACCCTTTCTGTAGCCGCGACCAACGACGGGACCGGACAATGAGAATGAACCCGCCTCGTAGAAATCACAGGAGTCAGAAGAGAAAACAACTACTAGACCCTTGTCGCACAAGCCGGCGACAGAAAATAAGGGTTCGTGGAGACCAGGAACAACTAGAGTGGCAACCTGTTTGTCAACAGACAGCGGAAGGGTCTGAGAGCCACGGGAGACAGCGAGGACTTCGGAACGGTCGGCGAGGCGGACCACGGTCAAGTCCGGCTTGCAGCGTTTGACGGTGGAGAAGTGGGGGGTCATCGATATGGAGCACCCGGAGTCGATATTGGCATCGACAGCCCCGGAAGTTTCTACCGAGGACGGGGAGCGACAAACAACGACAGCATTACCAGCACGTTCTGGAATGGAGAAATCTGAATCATCGCTGTAGGAGTCGTATCCCAGCTCGACGATGGTGGTTTGTCCGGCGGTGGCTGACGGTTTGGTTGAGGGGGCTTGACGAGATGAGGATCTGTCAGAGACAGCCGGGCGAGACTTGTTGCGAGAGTTATCGAAGCGACGGGACGAATCGGGAGCAGAGCGGTTTGATTTGTGTTCGGAGAGCACCCGGGCAGCATTCAGACAGATGGACAAGTCGTGTCCGCTGCGATTACAGAACGTGCAGTGCAGTGATTCGTTGAAGCGCGGGCGGCCCTTGCCTGACTCGGCTTTCGCTTTGGAGACCAAGACCGCGGAGTCGTCGTCTCTCCTGGCCTTACGAGGAAGAGACTCCGCCTTGAGAGCGGAAACGATACGAGAGGAGGTGACGGAATCCTCGTTCATGAGCGCGGATACACACGGAAGCCAGTCGTCCGTGAGCGATGTGAGAAGCGCGGTCGCATGGATATCGTCGACGGTCAACGGCTTTTCTGGAGTTACCAACAAGCCGAGACGTTCGGCGCAGACCGCCATCGACTCGATGTGCGAATCGATATCATCTCCGGAGAGACGAGCGACCACCAGTTGTCGCAACCAGTGCATGCGCCCACCAGACGAGAAGTCCTGATGGGCTTGGGAGAGAGAGATCCACATCGCCACGGCGTCGGTGCCGTGTGCCCTGACGAAGCGTAGATTACTGGGGTGGATCGTCCGCGCGATGAACGAAGAGACAGAGATGCTGTCATTTGTCCACGAGGAGGGTCGAGCTTTCCTCTCGGTAGTGGTAGAGGTGTCCTCAGGCTCGAGGACGTACGAAAGTTTAAGCGACTTGAGGTGGAGCAAGACCACGAAGCTCCAGTCGAGGTAGTTCGAGTCGGCTCCTTGTGGCTTGAGCTGAACAATGCCCGACACTTTAAGATTGAGAGCATCGGAAGCATCGGTGGTTTGGGCTATGGGGTCAGACATAGCGATGATCCTTATGACAGTGAATGTCGTCGCCGAGAGGTGTTCAATGAGGGCGAGTCGGAGTGAGTTGGAGTAAGAAAAGTAGCCTGGAGAAGTACGAGCGTAGCGAGTAAATTTCGAGCTGTTAAGCGGAGATGGGCATCATAACCTGTAGAGACAGACAAAATGAAGATGTGTCTGGTGAGAGTCGAACTCACGACCTCAGCTAAGCTGAGACACATACTAGAGTGCTGCCTTTACCAACTAGGCTACAGATGCTTGTGACTGCCAGGGTTGTTGGGTGGTAGTGCTCATGGTTCGACATGTAGTGATACATCATGGTAGCAGACTATCAGACACCTCAACATCCAACAAGAGGGCAGATGTAAGTCAAGCATTGGGTAGCTATTGGATGTGGCTGGGGATGTGTGGGTGGGATATTCTGAGCAGAAAAAATGTGGCAAATAGCAAAAAAGTCTGCTATGAGGATGCTCAAATCCATCATACTAACCAGAAAAAGTGGGTTGTGACTCAACACTGGATTGCTACTTGAAACTGTGCTATCTGCATTATCCCAGCAATGTAGGGCACTTGATCCCTTCCCTGATACATTTCACCTATATGTAGTACAAAATTGTTCTCTCAGCTAGTAGTGTAATGATTAAGTTTTTGTCCGTAATGAATGGATACACTAATGCATGATCATATTGCCCAGAGGTTAAGTAAACCTAAACACACTTTAAGTGGTAAAAATCATCTCTCTTTGGGCTTTGGCTGCAGCGCATGCCATAAATTTCAAAAAAGTATCAAGGGTTTTCCAAAAATAAAAATAAAAATATAGGTATGTACAAGTTGCTGATATGGTAATGAGGATGAAAAGAAAAAAATTTCAAGACAAAATGGATAATATGATGTGCAAAAAAAATTGAAGCATTATGGGAAAAGTAATGATAGTGAGTGGAAAATCACCATTACAGGTAATGTAACTACCCAGTGTTGCTTGTGTCCATCATTTGTGCAAAAGACAGTTTGCTTGGTTGATTGGTCTATCCAAAAAAAGTAATGTGGTTTAAAGATGGCTTATTCCCCTTTATTTATATTCTGTGTAGTACACTTACAGGCTTTTGCATATTTGACTCAGGCTATAAACACAGTGTAGCTTTATACCTGGTGGAAGTATGAGCCAGCCTTAAAAATTGTTTGATTCTGATATCCCTCTTTTGATCTGTCTTGACAGACTATTGAGCTGTGGATGAGGATGACGGTGATGATAGAGTGGAGAGTTTCAGACAGGTAGCATAAGAGACAAATGGAATCTACAAGACTTTATCATGATTCCTGTGCTACTTTATGTGCATACTTGTATGAAATGGTTTGAGGTTTTTCTGCCCTATGTAGACAGTGTTTCAGTCATCTTGCTGTGCAAAGAGACGAAGCCCAGCAGCAAAGCTGGTGAAAAAAACAGGGGTCAAATTTTGGCTGGTCGTAGTTGGGTTTGAGCCAATTTGTTTTAGTAGCAAGCTGACTCGGTCGTTGGGTTGGGGTCCGGACGGGGTGAAGGGTGTCCCGAAGCGCTTAAAATAAGCATAAACTAATCCAGACTTAAAAAAAGCTGGGCTGTGTTAAGGCGAGACCCAGTAGTGAAGGATAAATACAGGGTCAAGCTGAGGGGACGCAGTGACTTGCGGGGACGACTATAGGGGATCCCAATTAGCAACTTCCCAACTTCCTTCTCTCGCTGGCAGTTCCAAAAATCGAGAATCAAAGTCCTATAAACAGTTTGGTCAACACAACCAATTCTTTAGATCAAAAGAAAGGATATGGAGATTTCATCGATATTGAGCACTAGTACTACTTATACCCCCACCTCAACTGCTGATTATCATGATCCCAGTCATCATATTTCTACCAGAGCTAGTCAGACTTCAGTAACCAGGAGTATAAGCCCCAATATTAGTGATCATCATGATATTGTTAGAGACAGGACTGCTAGTACTGGTGGTGGTGTGACTGATCTTGGACTGGAGGAGACTGCAGGAGATTCAGCTTCCACTAGAGGTCGACAGGATGCGGATGCGGCGCAAGTCCGACCAGCAACAACCACCTCAACCAGCTCCACTCCGATCCTCAGCACAACCTCACTCCCCTCGATGGCCGAAGCAGCAGCAGCAGCAGCAGCAGCAGCAACTACGGGCACAGCAACATCCTCATCCCCAGCAAGGGACATCCCAGTCAACCCACTCCTACTAACAACCAACAACAACAACAACAACAATATCGAACCAATCCCATTGGACCCTTCACTATTCTCAACCGACTCTACTACTAACAACAACACCAATAACGAAAATGCCATCCCACCATCAGAACGAATTGCAACTCAAATCGAACAACAACAACAACCATCCTCCCCGGCAATCTCATCCCATGGTCAAATCGGAACTAGCAACTCAATCACCGCAGAGATGATCGAACAATCACTAACACCATTCCGAGTTGGAAAGAACTGGGCCTGCCGGATCTGCGGACGCCAATTCACTCGAAGGTTCAACTGTACCACTCACGAACGTACTCATCTCGACCTCAAGGAACGTGCCCAGTTCCAGTGCAGACTATGCGAGCGAGCATTTACCAGGAGACACGACCTCGAACGACACGTCCATTCCGTCCATCCCGGTCATACCGTCCAACGAGACTCAGACGGCACTTCTCCACTGATCATCAGCCAATCTGATCAAAACATCTTCGACCTCTCAGCTCTCAATCAGGCCCAAATCAGCTCACTCGACCACCACCACCATCATCATCATCTCAATCAAACCGAGATCCCCCGGTCGAACTCGGACGATAACAGATTTGATCGTACCTCCGATCATGTTCGGATCCTAAGTAAATATGCCAATCGTTTTTCTCTTCGAAACGTGACTGACAATGCTAACCGAATCCCCTCTTGACCCATTGATAACCATCGAACAGTGATTGAGCAACCATCTGGATCACAGACCGATCTGGTCAAAAGTACAACCCTGATGTCACATTCACCATCATCACCATCATCAGTCACAGCAACAGCCTTACAACCCAGCACAACGACCATGGCTCTCAGTGATCAAACAAATCCACCCACGGCCATCTTGACCTCCGGCTCCATTAGAGGGATCTCACAAGGTATCGAGCGAGTCCCATTGGATCAGATCACCGAATTCAATCCGAACCAGGAACCAATCTTCAAGTTCGATAAGAAGTGGGCCTGTGGGACGTGTGGTCGGATCTTTGTCCGTAGAAATAATTGCAAGGCGCACGAGGCTACCCATCGAGACATCCGAGAGGTGAGGCTTCCCATATTCTGAAGCAAGAGAATACATGTGCTCACTCACCCATTCCTCCCTCTTCAGCATCAATGTCCCACTTGTTCGCGATCCTTCTCTCGTAAACACGACCTCGAAAGACATATGTCGGCCGTCCATCCTGGGGTCGAATTGTCCGATGGAGAATACGAATCGAGCGATCCGAATGCGAGTCGAAGAAAACGTATGCTTGTGTTTTTTTATCTTACCAACCATCATAATTTGACTGATTGTTCTTGAAACGCGATGATCATAATAATAGGGAGGAAGCAAGTGGCTCATTCGGATGAGTGGACGGCGATTGATCCGTTCATTCTGAGCCTAGGGGATCGATCGCGATCGACGAGTCCGACGAAAGGAGGTCCAGTACGATGGGAGGACAATACGGGAGGTGATGGAGAAGGCGGGTCGAGCGAGTTGGGGAGTGCGCGCATGCACGGTCGACAACAGCACCATCCGACGCCGCCTCCGCCGACCAGGGTGGCCAGAGCGGCGAGCAGATCGGCCAGAGGCCATGGGGACGAGAACGAACTCGCTGGGAGCCACGTGTCTGCCCGTCGTCGGCCCATCCCGCCTCCCCCTCCGGCCGCTAGTCACTTCAACATCTTCGAAACCTTCGAACCTGTCGGCTCCTCCGCCCTCTCCGACTCCAACTCTCACGCTTCCCCGCCTGCTTCGCTTCATAACCCGCTCCCCCCACCCACCATCCCTACCTCTACAACCATCAGACCAATCACGGCAACTGAGCTCGGAGCGGAGAACTTGTCCGAGCAGGTCATTCAACTCGACCCTCGTTTATTCGCTTGATCTTGCTCTCTTTTGTTCCTATCTTCTCTAGTGTTGTACTTCAACTTGAGCTGGCTGTATTCTTTCTTCTTCCCTTTCAGGTTCTCCTTTTTTGAAAAAAAAACTATCATAACATCACATATACATCTATGGTATGAACGAAAACAAGTAGTTTCCAAACAAACAATGTATAAGCCCCTTCAACTACATGTCTTGAGATCACCACTAACCTGGTTATTATTGTCTTATTTTATCATTCTTTTTTTTTCTTTGTTGGATTGATTTGCATTCAACAGGATGGCTCATATCCACAGATATCCTCTTCAGAATAAAAACTCACATAGATCTGCTTTCTTTTATCACCCAAGTCTTATCTAGGTTGAGAGGATTCGATTGGGTTTCATTCTTCTTGGTGGTTGTGGACTGGTTGATCAGCATTAATTAGGTTGTTGAGATAGGGGTGAGAGAATTTGTGGTAGATGACTTTAAACAAACTCTGTGTGGCCTAGTTTCCTGGATTGCATTCTTGGGGTTGTTGGGATCCACTGGGTCAAGTTCTGGGCAAGAACAGCAGCATCAGATGTTGCTTCAAAATATGTAATCACATGTGACTGTGGCTTTCAGGGGGAGATATAGAGCCTGGGGTTTCTGATTATCTTGAGGAATTGGATTCTGTTGTTAAAGAAGGAGTCCCAAGACTGGTTCATGGCTGAGCTAGAAGTCAAGCAGAGTTCTTATATGGCCATCCTAATAAATGATGAAGATGGATAGGATAAACATGGGTTTGTTTCATCCTCAGATCAAAGATGTGTTACTTGATCACATGTCTATCACCACCCTGGTAGTACAGGATAGAAGAATTTGCTAGCCCCAGTTTGAAAAAAAAAAAAAAAAATCACTTTTATAGGTGTTGGGGATAAGTTTATTATATATCAATTTAGATTGGCAGAAATATCACCACTTGATTTTTTGAAAAGAAAGTCCAGTTTAATTAGAGGATGTTATTATATTGCTGTGCACTTATAAATACCAATTTGGTTCTAGTAGAACCAAATTGGCATTTATAAGTGCACAACAATTCAATCAATGAATTAAACAAAGTAGAACTTCTACTTTGTTTACTTCATTGATTGAGTTATTTATTCAAGACTCTATGTAGAAAGCACATCTCTGCCTGCTTGATGAAGATTGTTTTTGTTAGTGAAATTGAAGACACATTAGGTGTATGGGAATGATTGATTTTAGCCTTCAAGCCTGGACTTGAGAAGGAAGATCTCTATAGCTGAGTCTCTGGTGATCTGAGTGAAATATGTATCTGGAGTTTGTCTATGGCCATTGAGATATGAATTCAAACTCCCTCTATCCCATCTCCAAATCTAAAATCTAAATGAAATCCATTCTACTTAGATCTGGGCCTCCGTTGGTTCTTGAAGATGTATGATCAGATTGTTGTAAGATTTCATTGTAAATGTGCGCAGCTTTGTTTGTTTGATGATAATCATTTTAATTGGATATGTGTGATTTATGCATACAAAACATTTTTTTTTCAGGGCTATCGAGACATCAGGACTTGCCAGATATTTGTACAGCAGTTCCCAGAAAGCTTGCGCTCGCGAGCTCCTGGGATCTGATTTTTTTTTTATTTTCTTTCGACTTTTTTTTGTGCCTCGTAACCTGTACACATGACTGTACAGGTAGCGAATCTGCTGCCGAGGCCGGGTGAGGCCTCCGGGCACCTGTCGGTTGCCTGGTGGGGGCTGGGGACAGTGAATGTGATGAGCGTTTCCGACTCAAAAAAAAGAGAGGAATCCAATGGTCCAACTCCCATATCTTCAACTTGAAAGATGGGGGAGTTGGGCCATATGCCTGGAATATTATGGCTGTACGAGGCCACGTACAGGACAGAAAAACAAAGAAAAATCGAGGCACAAAAAAAAAAAAAATTGGGATCCCAGGAGCTCGCGACAGCAAGCTTTCTGGGAACTGCTGTACAAGATGTTTGTGTTTTGTTTTTTGATATGATATGCTATGCTGTTGTAAGTGTAAGCCATGTGTGTGGGTATGGGTATGGGTATGGGTATTGTTTTCCCTATCATCGGATCGGCGTGTTGAGAATCCCATACAATAGCAAGCTTGCTTCTTCTCAAAACTTAAAAAAAAGAAGAAAGTAAAGAACAGTTCCCTGGACCCTTCAACTCCGAACCCAACAACTAAACACTTGGATGCTCTCTTGCAAATCCTAGCGGAAGAAGCACTTTGAAAAGCGAAGAGGAAGAGCTTGAATTAGGGATTTTTTCTTTTTTTCAAACGGACCACCAGATCGAACTGGGATGTTAGATAGCTCACCACCAGAAGTACGTAACCCAACTCAACAATCCACTCCCAGACAGCACTAGCACCATACTCACCCTGCCTTCCCCCATCTTCGCTTCTCCTCTCCTCTCCTCTTTCTTTCCTTTTCTTTTCTCTCTTGATCACTTCCAGATACTCGATCGGATCTTCCTCCACTCAGATCCGATCGAACTAGCCAGTCTGGCCAGAGTCGCCCGATTTGCTCACGAACGAATCTATGGTCAAAATAACCGACAGCATCTCTGGCAGAAACTATTCCTGAATCACTTTGTCAGTCAAAACATTCATTCTTGAAGCATAGAACAGTTGGCTAACACTTCGTAACTTGACACAAATTCAGGATGACCCACTCTCAAATCCACGTATCCGTTCCATCTTCCTCCAACATCCCCTGACCATCAAGCAGAATGAACAACATGTCGATTGGCTAAAAACTTTAACCACCCGAATCACACTCAGGCAGATCCTCACGACGGCCGACGATGCTCTAATAAGGGACAGATTGGTAGATCGACAAATTCTGATTCTGATTCATCCAACTCAGTCAACCACCGATCATTATTAACAACTACTCTCTCTCTCTCTGCTTTTCCCCAGATCAAACACTATCCAGATCACCGCTTCCACCAACTATATGATCTCCTCTTCCTCATCCTCGATACCGCACATTCATCATCACCTTCACCTCTCAACCCAAATCCGACTTCATTGAACATATCCTTCCTCGAAAACCTTCTCTCCAATCCGCCCACCCAGTTCCGGATCATCCACTTCGCCGGTCTCAACCACCAGCATAACCCGATCTATGCCCACCGAGCCTCTCTTTACGATCCACTGGTAGCTGCTGCTGCCAAACTGCACACGATCTATGGCCTCACTTCCTTGGATATCGACCGGCCCCGGACTAGAGGGATCGCCAGGGAGAGTAGCTACTCGATCAGGAACTATAAGCCCAATAACTTCTACGGACCCTTCATTCCTAACCCCGACCCGGACCCCGACGTGCCCGATCAGCCCGAACCTACCTGTCGGGTCAGCTGGCCCCATCTCGAAGCTCTCAGCCTCGTCGTCGGCCTGCACCTCTACATGCTACGCAGGGAAACCCAGGATATCCTGGCTGCTGCCAAGGATGAACAGGAGGCTGCCGACAACGATCAAATCGAAGCTGCTACCAACGATGAACAGGAGCCTCCAAACGTCATGGTGAACCCAGACATGCAACCCCAGCGTCACAACATCCATCCCGCTCCGTTCGCGATGCCCAATCTTATCCTGAGGCACCGGCGGGCCCAACTAGATCCCAACCAGACCAACAATGACCAGGAGCCCCCGACCATCATGACGAACGTAGACGAGCTGCCTGTGGACCCCGCTCCGCTTGGGATCCCCTATCCGATCCTACAGCACCAGGGGGCCGAAGACGAGCTTGATCACGAACTGGAAAACGAGCCAGCAAGGCGCGGGCCTGACCGTGTCCTGGCACAGATCCCATGGCCGATCCTCAACAGTCTTCGCTCTGCCCGTCCGTTCTCCCAACTCATGCATCCCGCCTACGACCACCCCCCTCTCCCCTGGCCACCCACTATCCCTGGCTCACCAACAAGGCCAGTGGACTTGAATCAGTACGATTGGGCTGGGGTCGGTGGACAATGGTTAAGGGTAGTCACTTTCCTTGACTATCGTCTCCTCTATGAGTTTAACTGTCAGCACCCAAGCTTCTATATATCTTTCTCTTTTTTTTGGATTTTTATCCCATCATCATGCTCATCCTTGTGGGTTTCTGTAATCTGTCTGTAGTCGATCAGAATCCGCCCGGCAATCTCGAACAACGTGATGAGGCGAGAAGGGTGATGACCTTGGACCTCAAGGTGGTCTCGATTGGAGATCCGCCTGAAGATGATCACACTCATCCGGTGCCATTATGTCTACGGACCGATCTCATCGACCGACCGCCGATCTTTTTCAGAGGAACATTAGAGTAAGTGTGTGTGTATATTTTTTTTTTCGAAAGGCAATCAAATATGAACAGGGGACTGATATAAGGGCTGAATAAAATATGAAGATTCAATGTGGGAGCGAAGAGTAGGTTACTAGTTGGTCGGGGGGTGCCGTTGGTCCGGGGCTGTGTGTCGATGACGTTGGACGGCGAAGTGCGTTGGTCGCTCGTGAGCACTTTCAACGGTGTCGATCGCTGGTCCTCCGAGGGCATCCAGGTTGGCGGGGTCCGGTCCAAGTGGGGCGTCATCGGCGCTTGGACGGATATCAATCGGGGAGACGCTCAGGCTCCCGTTCGTCTCTCTTTCTCTCTTTTTTTCCTCCCCTCGAACTCTGGTTCTCATCAAATCGGGCTTTTTTTTGGTTTGTGCGGGGTCGAATTAGGTCGGGCCGTTCTATTTCTTTAAAACTGCTTATTGAGATCATGCGGAGGTAGGGAGACAACCAATCTGTTGGATTTTTTCTTCCTGTTCAATTCCCATTTTTGTCTTGCTCGATCAGAGATCGTTGGTTTTTTTTTTTTTTTTGGATATATGCTTTGTCTCTTTTCTCTCTGTGTCTTCTGTTCATGTGATGGTCTTTCTTGCTTACTTACTCGACAATATAACACCTTTCAAAACCATTCTTGCGGATCATCTATTTTGTGGTGATTGATGGAACTCTTATCGTGATCAAGTCTTCTGGACCGTCCTGCGTCTATCGTGCTCCGTTCGCTTATCAGATGATCTACTTTTCTAATCCCCCCCCTCTTGAAGAACAAAAACTGCCCCCCCCCCCAAACAACGAAAAATTTCCTTTGGCCGTTTTCGTGTCTTTTTTTTGCTCTCTCTCTCTTCTCTCCATCAACTCCATTGTTGATGCTCCCATATTGGGTGTTGGTTTGTTATTGTGTTTTTTTTTTATTTGTATGTGTGTTTAGGTCAAGAAAGATAAACAAGTCTCTCTTAAGATTATATTTTTATAGGTTGTTCTCATGGTTTATATATATATGATCATGTACTCTTTTTTTTTTTTTTTTTGGTTGGTTTGTGTGTAACTTGGAAAACAACATACAACAACGAGAAGTGATTACAATCGAATTCGGGATATTGGGAGTACAAAATGGTGTGGATTCCGAGTATGGTATAATGCCTTAATCTGAGCCATTCAGACAGGAGGGTGGCGGGGCAGGACTGCTGTTTGGTTATCTTTGTTGAGGCTGGTGAGAAACACGACGACGATGATGAGTTCCCATTTGCTACTTGAACCATTTTTTTTCTTTGCTTCCAGGCCGAGGTTCCTTATAATCTGCGATCTCAATTCAGATGGGCAGTTTACATAGTTCCTTCTTCTGCTATGTATCGTGACTTCTATATAGATCGTCGTTGATTCTATATATATCTCACAATCTAGACATACAATAACAAAAAAAAAATAGAAAGTTCAATCTTTTTTACAGGTGATGCTGGCAGTAGTAGTAGTAGGAGTGGATGATGAGAGTAGTTTGACGCGATGATCGAGAATGAGTCGCAATGCGTTCTTGATCTCGGCATGAAGTGATTCTGAAGTCGCCAGGTTAGTTAGTGAGTTTTTGGGAAGTGTGAGGAAGAGAAGAGTCTGAGTGCTTGCTGACCTGCTTCTGAGAGTGCTCGGTCGTACTCCTGCTGTGCTAGTTGTAAGTCTGCCTGTAATCGTTCAAATTCTTCTGAATCGTCCTCATCCTCTTCCTGTTCCTGTTCTTCTTCTGTTGTTGCTGCTGTTGTTGTTGTTGTTTTAGTTGGTTTTTGTTGGTTGTGATGGGGTGGTAGGATGGAGATGAGGTATTGGATCTGTTTGGCTTTCCTGAGGAAGTCTTGGACTAGTTCTTCGCAGTTTTCTGTTGATGATCGATCAGGTGGGAATCAGTTTCCTAGCTCGATGATTTTTGAGAGAGAGAGGGGGGGGGGGGACTCAGACGGTTGAATGATTCGTGTGGTGGGATGGTTCCTTCTGGGTGTGGGATGGCTTGGGTGATGGGGATGTCTGGGTTGAGTTGTTTGAAGTTTGCGTTCCTTGATAGGAAGCTTAGGGTGCTATACATGATTGTTACGAGCTGATGATGAATGATTTGGGATGTGAGTGTTTTGTTTTTGGTTGTTGTTTTTTTGTTTTTCTTACGTTGTCTATTCCATCCTGTAGTTGAGTGATCCTGTCCATATTCCTAGACAGTTCTTCGTCGTGAGAAGTCATCCGATTGCCACTCAAGGCGTTTGTTGAGCAAGTTTGGGATGGGTGGGTGGTGTGGTTGGTTAGTGGTGGATTGTTTGAAGATGTACTTGGTCAGGAGAGAGAAGAAGAAGAAGAAGAAAAACATCACCACCCCACAAAAAAGAAAAACAAACTACATAAACAAAAAAACTAAACATGAACCAAACTACCATCCATCCACTACTATCATCCTCACCAACTGAACCCACCAGCCAACTAACAACAACAACAACAACCACATCAACAACATCAACAACATCAGCAGCAAACCATCAACAACAACAAGAACTTACAGACGCACTACTCTTCCAAAACTTAAGAGCAAACGCACAAGAACTAGGACTAGACGGACACAGCCTAGGATGGAACATCATCCAAACCATCCACCAACAAGAACACCAACTCATCGAACGACTACAAGCAAAACAACTAGAACTACTACTACTACTACCAAAAACAAAAACAACAAACAACAACCAACTAATCATTAACAAACAACTCATCCTAAACCACATCCTAATCATCAGCCCATCATCATCATCATCAAACCAACACCAAATCACCAACCTCAACGGATGGAACGGACTCATCGAAGCAGATCGGATCCTATTCACTTCACCCGGAAACCCAATCAATCCCGATCTCAGGTTAGCTCAATCCCATCCTCAAAAAAAAATCAAACTAACTTAAAAACTAACCCAACCCAACCCAACCAGTTTCACTACCATCAAACCATCCACCTCCTTATCCGATGAACTCACCTCACCAGCTCAACTACGATTCCCGATCTACCATCTACTCTCACCACCCGCAAAAACGATCACCATCCCAAGATCAAATAACACCAATACCAACAATAGGAGCAGTAGTACTAGCACTGCCCAGAGATTGGCCTCACTCTTCGCATCCTCCTCCAGATCCGAATCAGAACCACTCACCATCCAGATCAGACTCATCGATCGCCCACTAGACTCACTCGAACTCGATCAGGCCATCACCAGAGCTGTCTCCAATCGGATCAAGGATGGCCTCGGAAGCTTGGAGGAAAACATGCTCAATACCATCCAAAACTTCATCTCTCGTCTATCGATCTACAACCATTCAGCAACTGGAGGAATCAGCTCATCCGTAATAGAAGGTCAGTTCTACATCATTATATAACTCTCATCAACTCAGGATCATGACAGAGTTCTCCTCTATTTCAGCTACTTCTTCACTCCAACTGGCTACCAACCAAGAGATTGGCGAGGTGATCCAAGAGATGTATCACGAGATCGATCAACAACTCGAGCGAGAGTACCACCAAGAACTCGAGCAGGATCAGGCCGAGGAGGAGACCCGGATGATCATCGATCACACCTTGGAACTCATCGAGGAAGTCGTCTGTCTAGAATTGTACGATCGATTCTTTGAGCAATCTTCGCTGGAAGATCAGCAACTTACTGAGAAGATCGCCCAGTTGAATCTACTCGATCTCACACTGTCAGTCTTCCATCTGTTGTTTTTATCCTAATTTCAAGTTTAACACGCAACTCTCTTATTAGGGATCACTTGGGTCTGGATTTGGAGAGAAGAGAGATGGACGATCCAGATGGGATCATCACCATCCGCAATGGACTGGATGAGATCATAAAAACTGCTTCGATCGGTGAGTTACAATATGATCCATCATAAATACGCTAGGAGTCCAATATTTGACATTTCGATATATACAGAACTATCTCGACTTGAGGACGGTGAATGTCGCTCCCCTCGGGACAAAGTTGGGGTCTATGTGACCGTTCACAAGCTGATCGTTGGTAGGTTACTTTTTGTGACCTATTCTCAATCACGCTTTTCCATTAATCTTGACTGGTCATTCAGATGGATTAAGTTCGCTGCCGCCAATCCCGATGAAAAAGGAGGGCATCCCAGCTGGTGTTATCACAGCCGGACAACTATCGCAAGATCAAAGCATCAACTCTAATGAGGTTGAGATGTCACATACACTCGATCGTACTGGGATCCCGACGGATACGACGACGACGACGACTACGATGATGATGGATAGAACCCTTCCGATGTCTACGCCCCTTCGTCCCTTGCCGAAGGATCAGGCTTCTGCAAGCGAGCTCTTGGATGCCATGCACACCAGTCTGATCGATGATCCACCTGGGCCCCCTGCTTCTGCGCCACCCGCTCAAGATCTCCATCCTCGCTCGCCCGATCCCGCGAAGCTCAACAAACCACGGCCCAACTCTTCGAGTGCCGACCTAATCCTGCCCATCCTCATCTACCTGATCATCAAGGCCAATCCCAACAGACTGATCTCGAATTTGAACTACGTCAATCGGTTCCGTTACCAGCGATTGATCAAGGGCGAGACGGACTATTGTCTGGTGAACTTCAGCGTGAGCTGCGAGTTCATCAAGAACTTTGTTGGCCTCGATGGCTCTGAAAATTTCCAGTCGCAGCAAAGCATGACCATTCCGGCGGTCGCCGGACGTTCGGTAGAGCAGGCTGAAGGAAGCACATCCAGGGGCCGGGCCGGATATGGGACGTTTCCTTCGCCGATCAAGCGTGGTCGGGAGAAAACTGGGAATAGTGAAGTTGAAGTTGCATTGATTGCAGCTAGTCGAGCGGTCGGAGGGGTATTGATGGGCGGGTACCAGAAGGTGATCTCGAGCTCCCTATTGGACGGGTCTGCGGCCAAGCTCGGTCTGGTGGCTGGCGGGGGTGGTGTAGCCCGCTCGGCCCCGCGGACGTTGGAGGACGTCAAGAAGCTGATCGGGTCCGGCGTCGCAGGCCGACGCGAAGCCGGAAACAGCGGCGGCGGCTGGGGCACCCGCGTCGGCTTGCTTCGGCGCCACCAATCATCCACTACGGTGACTCCCGATGGGGATCCTCTCGTCGACTCGCCCAGCTCGCTTGCGTCTAATCCCGTCAAACGCTTCAGCTCGCTCTTCCACACTAATAATCAACCCGCTTCCCTCCTCTCTGCTCCCCCCGTCTCCTCCACTCTCCTTCCTCCCACCTCTTCAGCTTCTGTTTCGGCTTCGGATCTGGGCGAGGACGATAAGGGGTCCTCGTCCATCGGCCAACGTCTATCCCATCTCTCCGGCTTTCGCAAGTTACAGACCCATCAATCGTCTGCTCTTCTCCCTTCCAAATCCCACGAATCTCTCACCTTGCGTCCATCTCTGAATGGTCCGTCAATCATCACCCTCTTTTTTTGGAGGAAAGACAACACTGATTTGGGAAAATTGTTGTTTTTTTAGAGGAGAGTGTTGGTGCTGCGTGTGGGACGGACATGATTGATGATGAGGAACATCGGACGGCACAACAGAGCGGGCCGATCGAGCGGCTGGAACGGTGTGTGAACAGCGACCAATTGATGCTCTCTGATGTTCCCCGTAAGTCCTTGTTCCTCGCCATCGACTTACACACACACGTATTGATTGAGGGTGTGTTTTTATGGGCCGTTATGGGGACAGTTCTGTTGGCGGATTATCAGAGGTTGGCTAGGATTGGTCGACGGGCTGGGTTGTGGTGATCATGGTCCACCACTCAGGCTATCAAGCACTAGCATTCAATCTCTTTTTCTTTGTCTTATCACTGTTTCGGTTTTTTTTTGTGGCGGGAGATAGAGAGACTTGTATTTACATACTCCGTTTTTTTTTTATCTAAAGCTTAAATGGACATATCCTCTTTTTTCATTATGATTGTGGGGGTTGAGAATGATGCGGGGTGGGGGACTGGAAAGTCCAAAGAAAGAGACTCTGGTTGGTGGTGGTGGGGTCTGGTGAGCTGACACTCAATTGAAAGAAGGGGGAAAAGGAGGTCCAATGGGTATGTTGTATTTATAGTTTGGAAGTTGGAAGTTGGTTTCTTTTTTCTTTTGTGTGTGTTTGGGTTTGGATTAACTAGTTATTGTACATTTTCAAATTGATAGTATGTCATATACTATGATCATTTCTCTTGTTACTTTCAAAGATATGTTTCCCCAGAAGAAAAAAAAAAAAGGGACCAAGTTCAAGGAGAGAGATGATGGGGGTGGGATAAGGATGGGAAAAGATTAGTGATCAAGGTTGATCTGATGATCCTAGGAGAGACCAGTTGTGGGGAATGCAAATAGGTGTGAAGAGTGGTGAGAGAGACTTGAAGAGAGCCCATACCAGTATTTATAGAGATGCAGAGCATGAGGACCTGGCTCTGGCTTCCAAGTCAGCTTGACTGGGCTGCTGCATCTTCCTTGAAATGATCAGAGATTCTTCCTTAAGGACTAGTTGATGGTCATCCTGAGTCCTCCTGCTCACCTCTTTTTTCCTGACATGTTCCTGCAATAAGGGGCACTAATTTTGAGTGATGTTTTTTTTTTTTTTTTTGGGGGGGGGGGGGGTCCTTGATCAAAAAAAAAAAAAAAAGAGCTCATGAATTGTAGGGACCTTTCAATTTTTTTTTTGTTATAATGAATTTGTAATGTGTTGCTCCAAGGATGGGAGCCCAACTGGCTTATGCAGGTCACAATTGTGACACTGATAATCTGGACCACCCTATGCAGTACATACAGTCTCTGCGCACCAACAGGTACTTCTGTCACATGTGGTAATGTGGAGGCATAGCAGGAGTTACTTAGTATCCAGCTAGAGTTCAGAGCTGCTCGAAGGTGGGTAAGGATCAGATAGCTTTTTTTGGTATAAAATCATCAAGTATCAGAAATTCACTGACTCTTTCAAGAATGTATTTTTTATTGGGGGGGGGGTGTGTTGTGAGCTTAAATGCTTGCAGGAGTCTGATCATTGTATTAGTATGACACTGCAAATGCCAAGTATTGTGAAATAAGGTATACATGAGAAATATCAAAAACATGATTTTTTTGATAAAGATCCCTTGGCCAGATACATTCCAAAATCTGGGCGATTAAATAATCTAAAATCCTGTCTTTTGTTATGTAAATAGCCCGGTTCACGATAGCCAGTCATCAGCAAACGTTTTAGCTGTAATCAGCAAATCATTGATACTTAAAAACACCTCCATTTTTGAATGTGTATAGTCCAGAGTCCCCCAGATTATTCTAGATCCATCCAAACAATATTTTTCTATTGGCAACTTTTCACAAGGTGATGATCAGCCATTGGAACTGGCTAATGTGAACCAGGCTAATAGTATGTCTTGTTTTGTTTTAGTTGAGATTTCAGTGATTATTATTGCCTTGGTTGTTGAATTTCAGCAATGATAATCAACCATGGGAGCTCAGGATTATGTCTACAGGATTTTACTAAAACATACTTTGAAAATCAATCATGAATCCCCTTATTGAGATATGAGACACTGTCATTTATCACAGTGCCAATCAGCACTTGGATGAGATGCGAGTAAGGTGGAGGAAGTGTCATTTATTAAAAACCCTAATCTAAATTCCACTTTCTTCCCAAATGCAAATCACTTTTTTAAGCTTGATGATATACAAAGAAATACTGGATTTGGAGATAGGAAAGAGTGTTTGTTTGAAATGACTTGTTGAGGCACACCCTTTTTTGGGAACTCCACAAAGTGGCACTGGGATTAAAATTGAGAGATATAATGATTTTCATTAGAGAGTCTTATTTTTAGGAAGGGGTCACGGAAAAAGAGTGTAAAGAACCAATGAGTTTTTATTCACAAGTATCTAGCCAGCGTTAAATAGACTAAATACAAGTGTACAAAATGTGGTCAAGATGAAAACTAATAAAGAGTGATTTTGAATAAAATCTGAGAGGAAGAAATGTATGAGTTCATGGAAGTAATAACCAGACAAGCCTTCTCAGTCTCTTTGAAGAGATACAATAATTGAATCATTTGAGCACACATCCAAGTGTCAAAAAGAAGAAGAAAAAATAGTATAAAGAAAGATGTGATCGAACAGGTGGGTGTCTCAGTTTGAACACAATGGGTTGTATGTCTCTGTAAAATCGGTGCATATCCAAACCTTCCTACTCTTGAGATTCAATGGCGGTCGATTTGAAACCCAGGCCGAAAGAGGATCGGTGCTCAAGAGTCAGATTCCCGAGCCTACCGAATCGCAATTCCCCAAGTAACCGCTGATGATGAGTTTTTCAGACCTACCAAAACTCGTCGTTTATTTCCTGCTTCACACATCATGTGAGCCGCCTCGCTCATTCCCAAATCAAGCGACCTAAAACGCAAATCAATGGGTTTTGCAGATTGCGGTTAAAACCAGATTAGCCAAGATTGACTTGTGGAAAGGCAAAGCTACAAGTCAGGCTGGAGGCTCAAAAAGAACGCACCATCTTCAGCAACTGATGCTGACGCCACTTTCTTGCCGAGAGGCTTGGAAGAAGTTGCACTGGGTTGGGGAGAGCGAGTCTGGGCATTCATGCGAATGCGCTCCTGTTCTCGCTTGTGCGCGGAGAGGTGACTGAGTCGTTCGGCCTCTTCGGCTGCTTTGAGCGCCTTGGCGGCCTCCTTCTTTTTCGCATTCTGGCGCTGACGCTTGGATGTTGCTTGTTCGGCCGCCTGCTTAGGTTTGGCCGCCGGCTGACCAGACGATCCGGTGCCAATCGAGATTGAGATACCAGTCGTGCGCGATCCTGTGATTTAAATAGAAGGTTTAAAGGTGGATGGTGGCAGAAACAGAGAAGTCTTAGCAGGTGAGACACAATATCTCGTTCAACCGATCGAAACAGGACGTCATGAAATCATGAGCAACAAATATCCGCACGTTTTGAATCTGGGACTTTTTCCCATCCATCCTCTGGGTCACTTGCTGGCGATAATGGGGCTTCTGACTCTGGGTTAACGATGTTCATGACCCTGGCCATTTTGAGTGGCTTCTGAACATCCTCGTCGACTGAAGTGAGGGATCATCATACGAAGGGAAAACCCCCTCATCAGTTAAATATCTAAACGTGCCATTCAATCTGAGGTGAGACCTATAACTAACTCATGTCATCCACAATAGTCTTGCGGACTGGTTGCTGATGCCTTTCGGCGAACGGCCTCTTTGGTTTGTTCTGATTTGTTTTATTGTGACTTTCGTCTTTGGCCGAGGCGAGTGGAGGAAAGTCTTGATCATTGATAGTGTCTGCTGCCTTTTTAGCCGCTTTCTTCTTTTGAGCAGGAGAAGGCCCGGTGGCTGGTTTGGCTTCGACAGCTTGGGATTGGACAGCAGACGGAGGCTCCGGATGACTTTCAGGTGTAGTGATCGGCTGTGTAGGGGGTGGAGACTGCGCTGAGCTTTCCCGGCGCTTGGCCGAAGGTGAGGATAGAGGGGGGCTGGAAATCGGTTCTCCTCCTTTCTTAGGCTTCTTCTTCTTCTTTGGTGCAGCGTTTTTCTTCAGGTTATGAGGGCCAGTCACGTTGGGTGATGAGTTCGAGCGGCCGATGAGGACGATACCACCGATCAAACCAGCCGTCAGCCCGAAAAGCGCCAGATCCGTCCAAGAAAGTGTAAGGGTAGGCATGTTATCTGATGAAGAATATGTACTGAAGACCACAAATTGCGCCCATATGAGTGTATGGAAGTGATCAGACTGGAGTGACACGTGTCATCATGAGTGGGCAAGGGCAAGCAACTTGACTTACTCTTTCAGCAATGAGAATCGCTTTCGTCAACGCTTGTGTCTGGCTAGCCTCCACGTAACAAATGTGTGTATCAGTTGAGATGGTGTGTCAGTTTAGTGAACAAAGTTGAGCAGGAGACGAACACAATGGTACGTAGAGTCAGGCAACGGCGACCACGCGACCAGTTGAAACGGTTGTGAGCCTCCCCCCGTTGGGCGCTCGGTCAACCTCGATCGACACCTGTCACTGACACCACCACTCACCTGGACAACCACCCGCAATAAAGCCCCTATGTCCTATCTTGTGAACTGACTGGTAGTTCTCACTAAGAAAGGTGGAGCACTGGAGGTACACAACGCACTGGAACCAGCTCTTCAACATAGGGGTTCCATCAAGCCCAAAAGCATCCCAACTTCCACGTGCACCATCTGCCCAGTAATCGTATGATCTAGAAGAAGAGTTTGCGAAAGCGGCACATAGCACATGGCACAAAATGAAAATAGGTCAAGTGCCCCACTGCCCCAGGGCAAAAGGAGTTACATGCCAGAGGTAACTTGGACAACAGCACGCATAAGTTGCACAGTCAAATATACACCATCCATCTCAATTGATAATTTCATTGAGCAAGATGAGATTGCTCATGTGAGCAGTGCTGCCCACAAAATTGAGTGACCAGATATGTTTGTTTGGACATCAGCAATCAGAATGTCTTAATGAGAAAAGAACCAAAATCAAATAAAATCACAGACAACTATAATCATGTGCTTCATAGAATGATTCACCTGGAGACTGGGGATATCCTTGAGCCCATTTTTGTACACATCACAGACTCTCCTTGCCAACTTAGCAGGCACATTGGGACACACTTTGTTGGATGCTAACATGTACAGCACCTGTAACTTGCTATTTAAGGTTGCCACATTATCAAGGCCATCTCATTTCAAGCTGAAACATGCAACCATTAGATTTTTGAACTTATATAACTGGTTATTATTATCCATGGGAGATCAAGTTCTCTTTGTAAAAGTAAATCTGGCAACACAGGGTAACACACTAAACCTTTTCAAGTGTCATCAAAATATAAAGTAGAGTCCCTGTAAAATTTTCATGAGCATTCCAATCATTGAAGGGTCACAGTAGAAATATTCCTAATCACCAGCCCAAAAACAAATTTTATGTGTACACATTGCCTTGTTGGGTACAAAGGGGCCCACCAAGCAATGTGTGCAAATTGCCTTTGTTTTGGCACTGGTCAATCAAGATTTCTTTTTCAGTTTGAAAACAAGGTGCCCAAAATAATTGGTTGCACAAACCTTTATGATGTGAGTTTTTATAAGTTTTGGAATTCTGTGAGATACAGGATGGACTTGTGCAATAGCCAGGTTTTGATTTTTTTTTGGATACCTTAGAGGGTTGCTGAGTGGTTGGATTTTAGGTTTGTTTTTCTGTTTTACTGATTTGGTTAAATTGTAAAACCTGCAATCAAATATTGGAGAAAGAAATTGAGATTGAACCAAAAGAAAATTTGATCAACTTTCAAAAAAAAATTATCAACCAGGTGCAAGATACGCAATGTTGAGTACTCTCCATTTTTGCATGTAGATATGTTTACACAACTACAATCATTTATTCCTACTATCCAAAATGGAAGTATTGGCAATTTGAACATTGAAGTACTGCAGTTCATTGCTTGCCAAAATGAAACACTCTGATTATACCACAAAATTTCATAATGAAAATCATTCAGCCTATCTTTTCCATAACTGGGATAAATTGCTAGTCATCAAGGCCTATTTTCCTACACTATCATGGCCTAGCATGGAATATCATTTTCTGAAAATCTATTTCTAATTTTTTTACATGGAACAAGTAATGGTAATAAGGTTTGTGGATGGCATTGTCACCCTTGATCATGCTTTAGGGACCTAAACTCCTTTTAATTCTTGATGTTTTTCTCAAATTTCCCTTTTGGTGATAGTTAGAATTGTTTCAATCCACCAAACACATGAAAATACAATCTTCTTCTCCCATAGTTATTCACATCTCATAAATGCAACTTCAAGCCACATTGACAGTTCATGCAGTAGCAATTTTATTCTACTTGTGTCATCTATCCTGTGAATTTTGATGTTTGGTGCGCATAAAACTTTGAACACAGCTTGAGCCAATGCCCTGTGAGCTCAACCAACAGTTTTTGGATGATATGTTGAACCTTTTTGTCTTGATTTTTTCTGCATAAAACTAACCAATTCTAAGTATAGTTGAGTACCAGTCCAGATAATTATTCTCACTTTGAACCAGATAAAAAAACTGAATGAGGGATCACTGCATCAAGTGGCTAGTATTCTAAGTCAACAAGATGTTAGATGGTGGGTTCTGTGGGGACTAAAAGCTCTCATTAGCGGGGTTCATGATATGCTTTTTGCTTCCCGAACCCGGCTTAAATTTTTCCTGGATCCTGAAAACCTGAGCTTAATTTAAGGCTTAATTTAAGCTCAGAATCCCAACTCAGGAACCTCTAAGGCTTCCTGAGCTCAGGCAGCTTTATGGGTTCCTGAGTGCAGATTAAGGCTTAAACTTCACAAAAACTTTCCTCGATTGGTTAAATATTAAGCTTAATTTTGTCCAAAAATTAAGCCAAGGTTTGAGCACTCCCAAATACTGAGTAGCTTGCTTTTCTTCCTGACAAAATCCTATCATGAACCCCGCTATTAGATCTGAAAATAGCAAGAAAGGTAGAGAATAGAAACATTAGATGGATGTCTGGGGTCCAAAATGATCTATTGTGTTTATTCACGGATCCCAGACTCCCAAGACCAGTAGATTCTGGGCTACAAACTCACATAGATAATAAGTTATATACAATAAACATCTCTTAGAGACTTAGTGTTAGTGGAGGAAACGTTTGCCTAAAACGTTTATTACTGGAATGGGAATAGGTCTGGCTTAAATCAGTGGAATTTTGTAATCAATCCAGAGAGCTAGGACTCAGGAGGTTTCCCGCAACTACCACAGAGAGTCAGGACTCAGGAGGGCTCCTGTGATTACTACAGAGAATTAGGACTTGGGAGGGTTCCCAAGTACCATACTTATTACTACACAGATCTAAATTGTAATTCATTTGAAGATGCTACCTTAATGTTTATCTTCTGGATTTGGTAAGCTTTAGTGAGTTGATAAAAGGACAAACGGTTGTATTGCAGGCAAATGAGGTTGTGATACCCCATTAGGTATCTATCACAATCAAAGGTGACACATTTGTGCAAAACATCTGACTTTCCCAGTTGTTTGTAACCTCAAGATTCAAAAAAAATATTTTTTGGTCTATTGGGTTGAGTTGCAGCAAGCCTGTATTTCCATGGCTTTTCATCAAAGAACTCATGTTATTTCCCTCATTGAAGATCTTGAGGTGGGATTTGGGTATGAAAAACATGTCTTTAGGGGTTCTCCAAACCTAATATTCATGAGCTAAGGAGTGTTTCTGATTCTATAAATATGAACTTGAAGTTGCATTTCCTAAGTCCATATATATGTGCCCAGGTTATGGAATTATGCTGCATGTTTGCATTGAAGTCTGAGCCCCATTGTGCCTGACCATTTATCCCTCTTAACTAATAGCCCATAACCCTCAGGCCTATGACATCATTCTCACTGAATGACATCATAAAAGCTCAAACCCCTCTTTCTCACCTCACCAGAAAAAGCTTGGTTATCAATGAAACACTTGCTCAAACATCTCACTTGACCTCTTGCTTATAAAATGATTTCTTTCCCTAACAACCTTTATTCTGCTTGGGGAACTTTCTGGGTTGTTACTTACAACCTACTTACTATCAAACTCATTATCTTTTGTCTTTCATCATCTTATTTACTTTTCCTTGACACAATCTCATCATCATCACCCTTATCCAAAAAATGCTTATTAAAAAAACATCCAACCATTTTATTCACTCTGGTTTTTTCCTCAGAACACTCCATTCCATTTGACTTTCTGCTGACCTGACCAATTTCCTCCCTTCTTCAAACTCACAGTCACCACCAGTTATCAAAAGAACCTTCTGGTCTTTTATCCATTGTAGGCCTACCTGGAATACAGTACTGTTCATCATTTTCTTCATCATTGTCAATCAGAATATTTATGATTTCTTTCTTCTTAGTTCTTTATTTTTATTTTGTGCTTGTCATCTTGCTCTCTTTTGTGTCTTCTTTGTCTTCTGTTGTTTGCCTATAGCTTTGAATATTTTATTTTACATTCCTTTTATTGATTTTGTCATATATCTCATTTCTATCTTACTTACATGAAATACACCTTGAGTTTGTTCATGAACAGTTTGCAATTGGGAAGGGCAAAACAACGGGTGGTTATAAACCCCAAACCTTTTAAAATTGAATTATACAACCACCAAAAGGCTCCAATCTATCATCTATATTTCTTTCAATAAGGAATGTAAACATATTGCCTGTGTGCGAAATGTTTCTTTTCAGGTAAGTCTGTGCAGTAAGATGTTGTGTGCAACTTTCAAGGAAGGCAATATTTTTATGTGTGGGCATATCAGATAGGTCAATGCAAGTGCTTCTTTTTTCAGATAGCTCCTGATCATTGGTGCATGGATGAGTTGTTCCACATGATAACCAATTGGAATCATGTTCCACCTCCGCCCCTTGGCCAGCAGTTGTACCTTGGAGGAATTCTCTTTTGGTGGAGTGGTACAAGGTGTACTCACTTGTTGTGAAGAATTCAAAATTGTATTAAAGCATCTACCAGGTATGAATGCTCACTGTGGAATTTTTCACCTTGGTGATCACCTTGACCATGGAGGGATTCTTCTTGGCCAGTGGCAAGCAGTAACACAGTGTACTTGCTGACCAGGCAGGACTTCTTATCATAGAACAGCTTGGACCTGCTTGCTGAAAACATTTCTGTTGCTGCAAGTGGGTCATCCCCACTTAATGTTTACCAGTAAAAAAAATGCCTTGGCTGACTGCCTCAAGGGCAAGACCTAGGATAGGGGGGTGTTAAACAATTCTTGATTTTGTCTAAATGCACACCTGGGTGAGGTTGTTTGGCCAATCCACACCTATTCAAGAGTATACTTGGGCCAAATCCCCTAAAAAGCCTGCAGTAATTTGTACAATCCAGGGCCAAATTCAGAGATATCCTTGGTTTTCATTTCAACCAGGTTTAATACAAATCTTTCAAGAGTACCATTTTGACAAAAATCATGAATTCATACCTATTTCAAGAGTATGATTTTGGCTTTTTTGCCACTTTCAAATATGGGTTGGCCTGCTGGCAATTCAGAAGTAGGTTCACCACTCTGTTGTGCTTGCTTTTTGACAAACCACCAATCATGTGGAGCAATTCAATTACCAAATTGTTACCATGGAAATTAAAAGCATTAAAATGTGATTGTTCATGAAGAAGAGAAATTAGGTAAGTTCAGATTGGCCTAAATTGTTGCTGATGGTTGGCAAATTAGGTTCACTGACCATGCACAATTTTTTGGTAAAGTTTAATTGTGAAATTTTGCTTCTACATAAATCCCCTGCAAGCTTTAATACTTTTGGGGCATGATAGCAAAGGTTGGTTTCAATAAGATTCAACATCAGTAGACCATCACCAGGAGTACATAAACTGCCCTATCTCTGTACTCTATTATATGGATTCATCTGATCAGTTTTTATCTTGGGGTCTACCCACAAAGAGGACTCTGTATCAAAAACGCAGGGCATATTACTCACAATAGTAATTGCCCATTGTTGCAACAGACAGAAGTGTGGCCTGACCAAGCTCACCTCTGGCAACCATCTCCTAGTCTTACATGGATTTTATTTTTCTAAGAAATAGGTTGGGGAAGCTCTTGTATTGATTCCTGACACTTTTTCCACGTACAAAGCTTTTCCTATAGCTTTTGAGATCCTGGCAAAAAGATGATAGTTTCCTTGGGGAGGCCTGAATTGAATATGAAGCATTTTCTTCAATCAGAACCAACGTTACCCCTGCTGGCAGCCTTCGATGTGATCAGGATCTCCTTATCAACAGTCCGGTAATGATCAAAACAAGCTTCAAAGTGTTATCGACGAGATTGGTGAGTTTTTTGAAGCCCGTGGGCATGATGGATTTTGATTTGATCATCAGTTCTCAACAAAGCGTCCCATGATGCGTCCTTGATGCTTTTACTGGGAACCCTTGAATCAACATTAAGGAGTCGATTTTGTATATAGAATTATGTATGCCAATCGTTCCGTCTGCAGATCGATGTTGGTTGGGCGGAGGTTTTTTACGTAGATATTCATGATTGCACAGTTGAAATCGTTGGTTATCGAAAGTCATCTATTCTTTCCTGCAAGGGTTGGTGACTTCAACTGGCTGCCAGTGGCCACTGCCAGTGCCAGTGGCCACTGCCAGTGCCAGTGCCAGTTTCATTTTTATTTTTCAACCATTAATGGATCTGATCCTTTCCGTTTATATTCCTCCCCCTTGAAATTTTTGACCGCGCCGTATCTTTTTTGTTTGTTTGTTTCTGAATTGACTTGTCCTGTACTTGACCTTTCGGATGGCCCTCATCAATCGACCAGCGTGCTGGTTCTGATGGATCCTATCTGCCCCGACCCGGTTGATCAAGTTATCCAAACCAATCTCCACAACATTATAAGCCGCAATCCATCGGACTCCAGTCTCAACTCACCCTCCTCTTTCCCCAGTACCAGGTGATCAATCAGCTCATCAGTTATAATTCCCCACCACCATCATCCGTCGGTCAGGAAACTCTTGCCGGCAATACTCACTTCCCACCTTATCAAACCGCCTCCTCATCCTCCACCTCCTCCATTCTAGATCTTTGACTTCCCCATCGCCACGTTCCCGTCAAGAGTCAGGTGCCAGTGCTCGACTGTCATCCACCATTGGTGATCACCGCCAGCACCAAAGGCTCCGTTCCATCCTCGTCGATCCAGTAGTCTGTTCGACTGGTACTGCTACCGGTATCGCGCACCAGTGCGGAGGCTTTGACTGTTAGTCTCCCATTCTGCTCGTCTCATTGCTCTCAACATTTCCACTCGGTTAGCCTCTCTGCCATCTCTACCCAATCCTCAATCCTCCTCATCCGCAAGCCCATCACGATCTCTACACTGCCGGTCGACTGAGTCGAATCGGTGGCGGAGGATGTGACGAGTCCGGGACCCCGCAAGATGGATGCGCCACCAATGACGCGCTGTTGAAGTAGGTCCCGGTGGCATATAGGCGGCTCGCCTTATGTGCGATCCCAACTCGGATCCTCGACGGCCCCTGGGGTCGGATCGATTGCGTCCTACCGCCAGGGGCGCACCTAGGCCGTCCCGTTGATTTCGGCCTGGGGACGCTGGGTCGCAGGGGCGTGAAACGAGGGTGCGTACATGGGTCGACCCTCAAGGGCTGGGCTCGGGCGGCTCAGGGTTGCCATTTTTTTTGCACCTGGGACGACCTGGTTTGGGTCATGGGGGGAGTTGGCCGCTCCCGTCCTGGGGTCGACATGGGCTGAGTCAATCTGGTCGCCCCTGGGTTGGTTTGGTTATGGGCTCGGTGGCGCCAAGGGCACCTTAGGGTCTGGGACCGATGGCATGTGATTTGTTCATTTGGATGGTGCACATGCCGTAAATATCGGAAGTTGTATCACGGAATCGATTTTGGATGATTTAAACTCCCAAGGAGGACTCATAGAATAAAAGCGGAGACAGATAGTGGCTAACACAAGATGTAGAGGAGCAAAGCAGATAATCTAATAGGTAATCAGACAACAAGAGGTGGATAGAAGTTTCATAGTCGTTGGCCATAGGAGACAAGCGGGGCTAACACATGATGTAGAAGAGGAGATGATGACCTAAGAGAGAATCAGGAGATAGCTAGCAGGTCAAGAAACAGGGTCGAACGAGGTTTCATAGCCGTTGGCCAGTGGCCATACGTGCATGGACTTCCTCATCGCTAGGACTGCTGATTAGGTCCTGATCGATGTCAGCATACATGGGTTTGGCACCAAACAATGCCTTATCCTTGGATGTGATCAGTCGGTTCCAACTGTTGAGGCAGAGATCGGTGAGCATTTGAAAGACCTGACAAAGTATGAGAATGTGCTCACTGGTTAGTATAGTTGATTGGGTGGGCTCGACTGGCAACAAGTTGGGCATCTATCTGGTCCCACTGCGATATGTTTCGGCAAGCGGGATCGAGGTAGTTGACTAGGGTGGCTAACCGGAGGTAGGCAATCCGGACCTTCAAAAAGACATTGATTCGGGTGTCGATTTCCGATTCCGAGAGAGGATTGGACCTCCCAGTGGTCATCAGATGCTTCCAGACAAGCCTGGACAGCTCTTGGATGTCCGGGACCTTAATGGGCGCAGGGGCATCACCTGTGACAATGCCGGTGAGCAAGACGTTGCGCACCTTGTGTCGAACTTGTTTGAGTTGGTTCTTCACCTCAGTGTGAACACTATTGAGGGCTGATTGGTCACCTCCAATGAATCGGGGTGGGAGATGTGCACGTTGGAAGGCTGGAGGGAGGAGGGCTATTTCGGCCTGGTTTGTTGCGGAGGGCAAGGCGGTTCAGTAAGAGTGGGGTGAGGATGTGGGGTGGTGGTATACTTACCATGACCAAGCGGAAGAGCGAGTTTTCATGGTTGTCTTGAGCATAAGTCTCAATGTTCTCTGCGGTCATGCATTGACGCGCGGTCATTCGGATGAAGTCCTGTTGACCAAAGGGACATGGGGTCAGCCGTTGTTACAACCCTGAGGGGTCAATTGCGTGGATTTTTTTACCTTGGCTGGCTTTTGGTATTCAAAGGTGCGGATTTGTTCTTCGTGGCTAAGAACCGCAGTGACAGCGGAAACCTGTGGATGTGGATTGATTCCTCCCCTTATGATTTCGTCCATTCGGCGGTGTACAGATAGTTGGACCGCAAGCAGGGCGGCAGAACGTTGCGGCTCTGTAAGCTGTATCAATGGGCCTGATTTGGTGAGCTATCAGGGGAGGGGGGAAGGATCGGGTATGTATGACGCACAGTGTGAAAAGTAAGAGCAACATTCTCTCCCAGCTCGGCCACACCCATGTCATGATATAACTGCTCATGGGGAGTACGAGTAACAGGGGTGTCCTCTCGGGGGCGCTGACCTCCTGTGTCTTCAGAGTCAGAGTCAGCAAATGGGTCGGCTAGCTCGTGGTTGCCGATGCGGCGTCGTTGGTTTCGGTCATGGGACTCGGGCTCTGTAGGGGGCAGTTGCAGTAGGAGATTAGGATGGATTGATTTGTATTAGGTGATAACAAGCAGGCACTTGCCTTCTTCGGAGGGAGATCGATCCCTGCGGGCCCTTGATTGGGTGGAGTTATCTTGCGGTCCTGGGTCTGTTTGTTGTAGGAAGAAATTTGCACTCATTGTTGATATGGGTATCTATGATGGAACGGGGACGGATCGGCTTCGCAACTTTGTTTGGTGTATGGGTGTATGACCGATACTAGATCAGACTGAGTATCACTATCATACTGAATAATTAGGTTTGCGGGATTCATGTCACAATGTCGCAGCAGGGTTGCACTGTGCTCGCTCAGAGCCCCCGCGGGGCTGCTGCGACTGCAATATGTCCGGTCAGTGTGGAGTTATCTGATTCCAATTGGCTTATCTGTTACTGTTGGGATGCAGGGGGGGGGATTGGCTTATCTGAAACATGTGTTCACTAATATGATGAATGTTTATCTGACCTGATCAATCCTGATCTATTGCCAATTGCCTCATCTGTGTTTGATAAATGTGGGTTCCTGGGACTGCGGACAGCTGCTTTGCTTATCAGAATCATCACTAAATTGGGGTTTCATGAGCCAGAAGTCTTAGGGGGGCATGCTTGATGTGTGGGTTTGGCATGGCTGTTTGTAGATTGGTCATCTGAGACATGAATCAGGTTTAGGTCTGGGGTGTGGCATGTGTCTTCTAGGTGATATAGAGGACTCAATGTTGCTGGCTTCATTCTCAAGAATGGTGGGAATTTCCTTCCATTGGTGTTTTAGATGATGCTGATTGTGTATCTGGTTCATTCTCTAGGCTAGTGGTGATTTCCATATCAGATGGTTGGTTGAGATGAGTTGCAGTCTGAGGTTGGTTTGCTTATCTTATCTGAAACGTTATCAATTTCCTTATCTGATTGGTGTTTTAGATAATGCTGATAGTGTATCTGGTTGATTCTCTGGGCTAGTGGTGATTTCCATATCAGATTGTTGATTGAGAAGAGTTGCAGTCTGAGGTGGGTGTCCTTATCTTATCTGGCACATCATCAATTTCCTTATCTGATTGGTGTTTTAGATAATGCTGATTGTGTATCTTATTGATGCTCTAGGCCAGATTGTTTGTTGAGATAAGTTGCACTATCAGGTTGTTTTGCTTATTTTTTCTGAAACATCATCTATTTCCTTATTGGATTGGTGTTTTAGATTATGGTGCTTGAGTATCTGGTTCATACTCTAGACTGATGCTGATCTCCTTATCCTATCCAATTCTTGGTTGAGATAAGTTCTAGCCTGAGGTGGGGATGCTTATCTTATCTGAAACATCATCCTCTGTTGATTTGACATCAAATTTGCCCCTGGCCCCAATTGCCCCTCTGTCTGGGGTGGGGGGGGCTGTTTCAGCTTCACATGACCTCAGAATTTGGGCTGAATCTTCCTCATCATCATTTAGTTAGCTTGGCTTGGGTTGTGTGGCATTTGGTGCTGCCATGGTGCCCTACATATATAGCCATCTGTGTGGGGTGTGTGCAGCTGCATTCCCATTCCTCCTTCATGATTTTCTCCTGGTTATGATGTCTGGCCAACCCGTTACTGGTTGGTTATCTCCCTTGAATCTTGGCTGCACTGTCTATATGTCTGCTGACCTTAAAGAATGCCTTCTTTCTTTAGATTACACTACAATTCAGACTGACAAGGGGACCTCTTACCTCTGTACCATCTGCCCACTTGCAAGAGGAGCTAAGGACTGGAGGGTTCATTGTAAGAGTAAGACTCATCAATTGAACTTGGCCCGGAGGCAGGAACTTGAACACATCTTGTCCACAAATGAAGGTGGGATGATTCAACATGATGCAAATCTTGAAGACTCAAATGACAACCCAAATCAAGAGTCAGAGGAAGACCAAGCCCATATGGAACGAGTTTGGTTACGTCTGGAAGACCTCTTGCACTATCGGACTGATTCTCTTCCTGAAAGGATCATTCGTACACTAGATGAGGAGCTTGATGAACTGGAAGCCCGGGTGCCTGTCAATCGGACCCCTGAAGATCATGGTCAGGTTGCCAATTGGGAGACCATCCCTGAAGATGAACTTGAATCCATTGAATCAGATGAGGACAATCATATGGGTGTGGAGCCACCTCCCATCATCAGAGTTGATAAGCGGTCTGATAGGGTCAACACCTGTAAATGGTACCCTTTCAAGAGCAAGCTTGTTGAGTAATATTTTGGTCTATATTGATTTAAATGTTCACAAGCTGATCCTGTGTTAATTTATGATTGGGTCTATTAGGACCTCATTGCATCCCTAATAATTGGTCACACTCATTCAATGCTCTCCAGGGTTTTATACACAAAGATTCGTGCCATTCTGACACTGTGCGGGTTGGTCCTCCCAGCATGGGCAACAGTTAGGGCTTCAAGAGCCAGGATTAGTGGCTTGTCAGGCACCAAATTAAGGAATGCCAATTCTGTTTTTGACACACCATGTTATTCTCTTAGTGCTAAAACAATCTTATCTCAGGTTCGTACTTGTCTGTCATATATGTATACTGGCTCTGATTATACCAAGGCTGAACAGGATTGGTCTGTTGTTACATAGGAGTTGGCCAATCCTCATGTATCAAAACACTTGGAATTCTTTCCTGAAGACACTAATGGGATGAACATGTCCAGATTTTCTCAATCCTACAAGTGGCTCAGTGGGATCCCCCGTGAGAACCGACTGCAGATGTGTGAGGTTAATGGGAAACAGTTTTACATTTATGAGCCTGTGCAGTTGGTATCACATGAGGTGGTTATCCCAATATTTTTATACAAATCCAACACTGAAATCAAGTCTAAATGTGTCCGCATCAAGGCTGAACATATCAAGAAGGAGAATCAGATTACAGAAGGAGTAACCACATCAATCATCAAGATCACTGTTCCTTTCCCCCTGCCCTTCTATGACCCACGCTTGTCTACCATTCCTGTCACAGAATTTGATTCAGACTATTCTACCATCCGTTGGGTTGATGGGAAGTTCATCATTGATGCATGCAAGGGTTTTATATATGGCAAGTGGTTTCTAATTTACCCCTTTTGGATGTTGAATAACCAATGTTACCCCTTCAATGACAGAACAAAGGCTGAAGGAGGTCAACAAGATTCCATTCCCTAATCCATGGAGAGTCAAAGCCAATGGGAAAATTATCCGGCATGTTCCAATAGTGTTGTACTCAGATGACACATCTGGCAATGTTTCAAAACAGTTCAACAAACATATATCATTTTATTTCACTTTGGCTGGGCTGCCCCCACATATATCCAATCAAGAATATAACTGCCACTTCTTGGCCACTTCCAATTTGGCAAGTGTTTGTGAAATGTTAGAAATGATTGTTAAGGAATTGAAGTGAGTCATTCCATGCATGCATTACCCCCTTGAAAGACCAGGCCTGATACCAAATAAAATTTAATCACAGTGAATTGGCCACAGTAGGGTTTGAAGCTTATGATCACAGTATATCTCAAGTGGTGTTGGTAACGTCAACAGTCTTGTGCTTTGTAGCTGACTCACCCATGCATGCGGAGATTACCAACACCCCCAATCCAGGAGCTTCGCTGAACCCCTGTCGAATGTGTACCCTATGTGTCTCGGCCAAGCGTTTCCGCAAGACTCACACATACGTTCAACATTTTGTCCAGAGGGACATGTTTGGGAGAAAGGTTTGCATATATTTACATATATCCATCAGGCTAATGTATCATGTTACTCATCGTTAATTTTGTATGCAGTTCCCAAGAGGTGAAAGGCACTGGGAAACAACCAAGAGCAACACTCACAAACTATTCAACATTGCCACCACAGAAAGCAATGCTCAATATCTCAGAAAGGGAAGGAAATATGGGTTGAAGGACACCATCAACAACAAATTCATAATTGAATCCAAGTCTGACCCCCGAGTCAAAGAAAGAATGGAAAATTTTGCCCAAGGCAGTTCTCACAGGTTGTATAACCCCATACTTGAACTGATTGGTATGTCAGCCACTTTATCCTTATGATGCACTTCATAAATGACTAATTGACCCACATTTATTCATAGGATTTGATGGTGTTAAAGATACTCCTGTAGAAATTTTGCATGTTGTCCTCCTGGGAGTTGTGAAATATCTGGCCCGGGATTTGGTGGCAGGTGTCCCCCAATCCCAACGATACAAATTAATTGCACGACTGGAATCATTCAACTGTCAATCATTGAACATTGACTCACTCAAACCAGATTATCTCATACAACACATCAAAAGTCTTGTTGGAAGGGATTTCAAGATAATCATTCAGGCCGCCCCTTTTGTCTTCTCAGAGACAATGACCCCTGATCAGAAGGAGATATGGTTTGCACTATGTAAACTAACCCCCTTCATATTCCAAACCAAAATAGCCAATGAGGAAGATTATCTAGCTGATATAACCAATCACATCCACCTGTTGATATATCACCTGATCAAATCAACAGCACAGTGGGTTAACAAACCTAAAATACACATGCTACTACACCTACCTGACTCCATCAGGCGATTTGGCCCTCCCTCTCTGGTGTCAACGGAAAAGTTTGAATCATACAATGGTGTCTTAAGGAAAGCATCAATTCACTCCAACCGGATGGCCCCAGGGAGGGACTTGGCAACATCATTTGATAATTATTCATCCATAAGGTTCCTAACTTCTGGGGGCACAATATATGACCCCAAAACCTCCCAGTCCAGAGGAATAGGAGACGATGTGACCTCAATATTCTCTGGAAACAAAATAATTCAGCAGTCCATGGGTTACAACTTCAATGCATCTCATCCTCTAGATCCAGATCAGTATCCAGCCAAGACAGCCAAACATCATATCCAGGACCCCAAACTTCAAATCCCCCAACAGCTGGAAAATCCACGTGATGGACGGGTGGTGACCCAAGTAGCCCAAATACAAATCAACAAGCATGACCGATTGGACCCAGGGGTATTTGTTGTGGTACGTAATATGGACCTGACATATGTAACCCGCACTGGCTCATAGCTAATCTACCATTGCTGCAGGTCGGAAAGAACACCAGTGATGAATTGGGAGTTGGTGAGGTCCAATCCCTATGGCAAGCCAAGGCCGAAGGAATGTCCCCCAGCTTCTTTTGTAAGATCAATGTTTTCAAACTCAAAGGAGTTGATGCATTTTATGAGATGAGACAATTGAAGAGGACAAGCCAAAGCACAGTGGTCAATGCTAGGGTCAGGTACCATTTAACTGCCCCATAAACATACACCATAAACTAATTGACCCTTTACCTTTTTCATAACACAGTTTATTCAAGGTTGCATCAATGTACAACATAATTGTTGTAAAGGTAACTGCTCAGCCACTAAAACCAAAGCCAAGAAAAAAGAACGTCAGACCACAGGTGACCTGACCTGGGAAGTCACTCATAATGACCAAGACCATTACATAATCAATGCATCTTCACTACATGACCCCACCCTTCATCAAATGATATCCAAATTACCAGTACGCACACTCCAAGATCAAGAATGGGTTGATGCCATCAGCCAAGGATTGGCTGTGTGGAATGATCAAGATGAAGATATCACCTCAGATGAAGATGAAGATGAAGATGCAGATGCAGCAGATGAGGTCAATTCATCTGATGAAGAAGATGAGGAAGGCAATGATGATGCAGAAGGAGAAACAGAATGATCCAGCCCCAGTTCTGAAATATTTCACCTTGGGAACCATATTTTATTCTATGTTCAAATTCCATGTATATAAATAGGGTCCAACAATTTTTTCAAATTCTATGTACATATCTTGAGTCCAACAATTTACTATCCTATGTTCAAATTCTATGTACATAATTTGGGTCAACCCATTTGCCACAGGAGGAAACCTCCAAATCAATGACCCATGGTGCATTTTACCTGCCAACCACAAGCCATTCCTTTTATCAAATGGTTCCAAGACAGCATCAATCCACATTGTCTGAATAGTGTTTGTTCAAGATAATAGCCGCCAGAAAAACTGGGTGTCCACCCAAGCCCACTTTGCCTGAAATGTGTGGAATCAAGGTCAACAATGCCACCACATACCCAAAATGCGGCAGGTTACGCCTTGGCCCCCGCTTAGCCCCTTGGGCAGTTACTTCTGAGTCATCATGACCCCTCAGGCCCACCAGACCAAATAGGCCAACAATACCGACAAGTCCCACTCCGGAACAGAGGCCAAGCCCTGCATCATCCTTCCCAAATCGGCCGAACAAACCCTCATCATGACCCTAAACAAACTCTCGACGGAACCCGAATCTGGCATTCCACCCGACCCCAAGCGACCCAAAATATACCATGATGCAATAGTCAACGTAGGGATCCAAATTTTGTACCACATTTGGCTGGCCGACCCACTGGCAACCGAGACAACCCATGGCAAGCGCAATGTGAGGCAGATCAAGCACTGGACTCTCACAAGTGGCCCCCCAGAGAAACTCTACTGGGGAGGAGACCCGCGGAATTACAGCTGGCAAGACATCAAGCAAGAAATCATCGCAAAAGTCCTCCACCACTATCCAGAAGTCGGTCACGAAATGCGAACAAACGATGACGCAGGCGAGCTATTCTGGGAAGGTATCATATCCACGCAAGGCCAGATCCGCGAGAACGACGGCGAGTTCATCTATGGTCATGGCGGCTGGACTCACTTTGCCCACAAGTCCGCCCGATCACCCCCTTTTGAGAAGTTTATAATTCGTGTCTGCACCTTTGAACCGAATATGCCAACGGCCAAGCAGGATGGCCTTATCCGACAAATGGTGCGTGATCCATGATACTTACTTAAAGACTAGTCGTAGCAAACCCGAAAGTAGAATTCAAATCCAAATGATCTCTGTTACCATTCAGGTCCGAACACCCCACATTGCGACCCTATCTCAACCTGAACTACAGCAACATTTTGAGGATTGTCTCCGAGCACGAGCCAAGATCGTTGATGGTCAACCTGTTATATTCCGGAAAGTCGACTCCCATCAGTACATTCAACTGACCCCATCTGTTGTCCAAGGATGGGTCCAAGCAATGTTGTTCCAACATTCACCCGATGTCGATGAGTATCACCCACCTCAAGGTCATGATTACATCTGGCTAGGCGATGACGGTGACCCCACTTCTCCCAGCTCATCCAATTTGGCCAGCGATAAGCCTACCCCATCAATCACACCCAAACCCACTGTGGATGGCCAACCACCCGCATCGACCATCAAGAGATGCCCGGTATTCAACCCAGATCCGGAATCCTTGGAATATCATATATCTGATATGTTCTCAAGAGCCAGCGATAACTTACAGCTACATGAATTCCTCAAGGTCGCTTGTATCCCGGAAGATGATACCGAAACCCGACAACTCATCAGTGACCTGAAGATCACTCACTGGTCATGGTTCAAACATACCACAACCGAAACCCTCACAAGAATCAAGTTCGCCCCGGGCCCAGCCAAAACCTTAGCCATGGCTGCCGAAAGGCTTGATACATTTTCTAGCTGTCTTTTTCGCCTGTAGTGTAGCCAGACTAATCTACATGCTTATAAACTATGAGAAAGATGACTGCTTATTGGTCCCGATAGCTAATTCTGATCAGTATCCCATAAATCAGCCAAATCCCTGCACTCCTCCATCATGTACATTGCGAAGCAAGCTCACCAGATCATCCGGATCATCCGAGGCATCAGGATGATCCATAAGAATCATCACCGACAGATGTAGATCCAATGGAGAGGTGAGAACGTCGTATTTCCATGAGCGAAAGCGTTCGTGGAGATCATAATTTGCCACGATCCGACGTTCATCGTAACTGTAAACCTGAGCCTTCCATAAGATGTCCCTGGTACTCTCGAAATGCTCGATGAGCATGCCAAGCTGATAAGCGGCCCGAGTGTTGGCCAGCTGAAGGAGCACTTGTGATTTGAAAGACTCGAAGTCGGTTCTATCCAGGTCCACCTCCAGGGGCTCGATGTGACCGAATGACATCAACCGTTGGTAATCACCCTGATTAATGGTTGCCTCTTCATCATCATAGCGCGGCCTTCGATAATAGATAATGTCGCTATTGACATATAAGCAGTAATGTAAATCAATCGATGGTATAACGACTCGGTTGTCCGGAAGAGCTGGCTCCGGAACTTCCGATTCCTCAGGCCGCTCGGTCAACTTTTTGTTGATGAGCATGATAGCACTTGGTCATGCTTGGTTGTGTGCGACCATGACCCTCTTATAAGCTATCGACCTCATCGTTTCAGCGCATTCATAAACGATGAGGCCGACCGGGATTTTTCTTCAAGTCACGGGCAACAAAATATACCCGTTCGGAAAACAGATAACAAACAAAACAACATTTCAAACAGGTTCCAACCTGCCTGACAGGGTGTTTCTGTCACCCAGCAGGTCGGTCCGGCGATTCCCACAAGCGCGCAACTGAGACGCTCGCCCAGGCATGGGCCTCAGGTCTGCATTAGCACACCATCAGGGCGAGCCGCTCCATGGGCCGACCCAGCCACCTAATCGTCACAGGCGCGGTCACCTCCGGTTGCGCCCATGTGGAGGTCCTGGGACCACACCGTCATGGTGACTCGCCCAGTGAATGTCATCAGGACGAACTGGTCTCCACCCAGTCATCGAGCCGAAATGAGGGCGCACCCGCCACCGGTATCGCCCTCAGGCCGGCCCGTGTTGCGTGCCAGGAGCACTTGGTCACAAAGGCGCCATATCGGGCCCCCAGGTCGACCTGGGGGCTGTGGCGCCACTGGGGCGATCTAACTTTTATCGATTCGCCCCGCTGTGTAAGGTGCTTGCCCCATCAAGGGAGCGGTGCGCGTGTGCACAGTGGCTCGCTGATGAAATCTATGATCATATGATACAAGTCTGAATCGCTCATCACAGCAGTTGGGTTATATCTATGTACAATACTTGCTGCTGGCCACTGCTCCAGAGACCGAAATCAAACAAAACAGCGGTTTCCTGCTGCACTGCCTCGATTACGTCATGGTTCCTCTACCCATCAGCATCGTCAGCTGTACGTCCCCATGCACCCTCTGATCTTACCCTCTCGGTTCGTCGATGTCATCATTTCCCCAATCCTCCCCCTGTGCTATGGTGATCATCCTGTTCGCGCTGGGGGTACTCCTAATCTGAAAACCCTCCACTCCAATTCTGGGATCTCTTGACCAAATCCGAAATCTAAAGATCGCAATTGTGTACTCTTCATACATCACAAACTCCAACTTCCAACAACACTCTCAAACAACTACTACAACAATGATATTCCAAGTTGTAGTACTGTATTAGAGCATGTCGTACAGTCATCCGTCTATCATCCTCCCCCTCAAGATTGCCGGCTGATCATTCAGAAATAAACCTCAAATATCAAAAATACATAAAATCAAAAAATATTCATAAACACTTATTTCCATCTCGATCACCCCACAAGCTCTACCCTCCTTCCTGCTCCTACACCCTCCAAATCCAATCCCATCTGTCATTCACCAACCAAACCAACCACACACCCCACCCCAACTCACCCTTTCCTGCTCACTCTACTTGATACTCACTTATCAACGTCTCCTTCGGGTCAAACCATTGGCTCATCTTGTTTCTCTCTGCTGCCCTTTTTGCAGCCGCTGCGGTGGCGAACTCAACGTTAACGTGTGTTAGCTTTGCCTGTCTTGGTCTTTTTAATCTCATCTGCTCGATAGCCACTACCCCACTTCCGACCTCTAGCTCACTTCCTAAAACCGATGTCGAGCTAGTTGGGTTTCCTGCCTCACACCCTTCCAAAGTTGATTTCACTGACCTCAGATCTATTCTATCTTTCCTCCCTCCCGACCTCCCTCCCTCTCTTTCCCCTCTAGCACCCGTGCATCTGGCAAACGTCGGGCTCGATCTGCTTCACCTTCCCCCGCCTTTCCTGAGCCCACGCCCAAGCCATCCAACAAGCGTCTTCGAGGAGCCAAGCCCGATACACAATCCTCTTCCACCACCACCACCCCATCCTCATCCAGTTATAACCTCCGACATCGTCACCCCTCTCAAGCCTCGCGTGTGGTCAGCTCGAGTACCGCCACTGCCTCTGTCGATCGTTCTAACAAGGCCGAATCCCGTCTCCGTCCGTCCTCTTCTCCCAAGTCCTCAACAACTATGCCCAGGAAGCACCGATCTAGTAAAACAGTCATCAGTGCAGGAAATCTCAAGGAAAAAGCCAACTCATCATCTCATACCGCCCCTTTGGCTTCGACCTCCAATCCAACCTCTGCCCCTGCTACTGCCAAATCCTCTGAACAAGACGTCGAAATGAACGTTCAACATTCGATTTCATCGGATCGCCCTGGAAATGATGGGACTGACCACACCTCGGCTCTCTCTACCTCCGACCATGGTGCTAATGATGAATCGCAAGATGAACAAGATAGTCCAAGTAATAGTGAAGCAGATGACCCCGATCTCACTGAAGAACCCGGCGGGGCACACGATGACTTTGGTGATGAAATGGATCCTGAACATGCATCCCTACACGATGAGGACGATGACGATGACATGGACGAAAGCGAGATGGCTGCACTACGTGCAAGCGAGGCTTTATTTGGATTTGACCGTGCGTCTACCACTGCTCGTGGGATCGGTGGAGGTAGCGGTGGTGAGCCGGAAAACTCCCCGCTCTCCCTTCTCTCAACTGTTCAGCTTTTACTGACACTATCATCACAGGGGCCCTGGCTGGATTGGATGCCATGGGTATCAGCGGCTTACGTGGTCTAGGTGGGATCATGGCCGGATTTACCCATCGTCTCAAAAATATACTCCAATCCCTCAAGGCCCGAGGCTCCGGATCATCAACGAGTCGGTTGGCAGCCCTGCAGGAGCTTGCCGAAATCTTGGCAGTTAGCACCGAAGATACTCTCGCTGGCTACTTTCAAACAGATTCCTTTGCTCGCGAACTAGTTGGCATCTTGCGCGGGGAGAGTGGCCATAATGAATCCGAAGATGAAGAAGATGAAGTCGCCTTGGTCGCCGCCCTTACGGCCACCGGTAGCAGCTCAGGTTCATACCATCATCCCAGCTCGGGCACAGAGGTTGAACAAATGTTATTAGCCTCTCGTTGTTTAGCCAACCTGATGGAAGCACTCCCAGGTAGTGCGCATACTGTCGTTCACCACGGAGCCGTGCCAGTTCTGTGCGCAAAGCTATTGGAAATAAATTTCATCGATCTGGCAGAGCAGTCTTTAAGTGTCAGTCTCGTTTCCGGCATTTGGTTTTGCTGGTACTTACCCTCGTTTCTTTTGCCTTCTAGACTCTTGAAAAAATTTCGGAAGAGCTGCCCTCATCGATCGTTCGCGAAGGAGGACTGACAGCGCTCCTGCAATATCTCGATTTTTTCTCTACCAATGTTCAACGTACGGCCGTCACAGCCGCTGCCAATTGCTGCAGTTCCATATCTAGCGACAGTTTCGAAATGGTCAGAGATGTATTCCCAATCTTGCGCAACATTCTTTCTTACTCGGATCAAAGAGTATCCGAACAAGCCGTTCTTGCCATCACCCGAGTAACCGACTCATATCGCCATCATCCTGATAAGCTCCAGCAACTGCTAACCCCGGACGTCCTGTCATCTCTGACTGCTCTTCTGTCGCCAGTGGGCGGAACTAAAATTAGCGACAACATCTTTTCTGCGATCCTCAAATCTTTCACAAACATTGGTCGAAGTAGTCCAGAAGTTGCAACCAATCTCTTGGACGCTGGACTTGCCGATACTGTCTATGGGATTTTAGTTGGCCAAACTCCACCAGAAATTCCTGACGAACATGATCTTGCTCTCGAGTTGACCAGCAACTCGTCGGTCATTACCCAAGCGCTAATGCGCAAAGATCGAAAGTAAGTTTTCCTTCACCAAATCTCGAATTTTACCATCCTCCTCATCACCCATTGCCTCTTCACATTATTGACATGGCGTTTTTTCCTCAGTCAAATTCAGCAAGCGATTGACCTTGTCGTCGAAGTTCTACCCCCTCTGCCTAAAAGTAAGCTTATCTATCAAGGCTTATATTCGTCGTCGTCATGATTTCGTTAAGCTGAAATCATTTTTTCTTTCGCAGGCGGTATATTTGATCCAAAGCTTGCCAAAAAGCCGATAAACCCACAGGAGAATGTCGCGATGAAAGACGAAGAAGCCTATTCGACAAGTGTTCCAGAGCCTTCGGCGCTGCCGAATGAAGCCATCAATTCCTTTCCTGGGGTACGATCTGCGATGGATGAGGACGTCAAGCCTGATATTTCAGCCAGAACATTAGCCGCCCTTGCATACAGCTCCTCATCGCAAGTCAAAGAATCCAACAAAGAAGCAGCTATTGCACATCGGATTGAACTCTTACAATCAACCTCACGCGAACAAGTCGTCCGGCGCTTCAATGCTCTCTTACTCCCGACTTTATTGGAAGTCTACGGCGCCAGTGTCAGCTTTACAATTCGGCTCAAAGCGCTCGTTGCAGTCCTCAAGATTGCATACTTTAGCAAGGCGGAATACCTCACTCGAACTCTGAGACCTATCCCCTTGGCTAGCTTTCTGGCGTCGATTCTCGCCAACCGTGATCAGAACTCACTTGTGATGTATGCCCTTCAGATGGTCGATCTCCTCTTGGCCAAGTTGCCAGATGATTATCACTTTATCTTCCGACGGGAAGGCGTCATGCATGAAGTCAATCGTCTCGCGGAATCAGCTCCATCTGGATCACATTCTTCCATCAAGACCAGGATATCCAGTGCAACTGCTGGTGGTTCACGTTCAGAATCACACATATCTACAACATCAAATCCGCTCGATGAGGACCTACTACAAGTTCCATCCTCCCTTGGTCGTCACGGCAGCAGTAGCATTCATCCCTTCTCGACTGCATCCACCTCGTCAAGTTCCACGAGCACAAAAGATCAACTCATCTACCGCGCCCGTCACCTGAAAGCGAAATGTGTCATGGCTGAAACAACCGCTTCAACAAAAGCCCAAGATATCTTAGACAACATCCGAGATGTAGTTGATGCACTTGGGACCGTTCCAACTCCTGAGGAGGCAAAGTCGGCACTTCTCAAGTTGGCAGCGCTCTTCAGTCGCGAGAACGATCCAGTTACTAGTTTTGAACTTTTGGAGAGTGGCCTGGTTGAGGGTCTCTTACGCTTTGCCACGGAGTCTCGATCCTTTGGACCATCACTCAGTGTTCGCTCAGAGATACTCTCCGAAACATTCTTCTCCCCCTCTGAAGGCACTCCGGCGTTCGTACCTTTAGTAAAACGCCTTCAAGAATCTTTAGGTCGTCTAGAAGGCTTCGAGGTTCTTACAGCTGTTGCAAGCACTCCGGATGGTAAGATGCCTTGTGAATTCAAACCCATGTCACGAAAAATTGATGTTCCTTTATCACGAAAAATTAACTTTTATTTCAATGTCTTGGTTGTGTAGATTCGCGTCGCAGCACCGCTTCCATGCTAGCCAGGCAGTTGAAAATCCGTCTCGTGGCTGCTGAGGGTACGGATGTCCCCAAGAATTGTGCTAATGTGGTGGTCTCGATACATGCTATTGCCACCTTCCAAGCTTTCAACGATTACCTTCGCCCCCGAATCATCAAAGCACAAGATGATGAACGTCTTGGCCGTCCCTCGGGATCCTCCAGTAGCAGGCTTTCAGGCATGTTGGCTGCATTCGCGGCAGTGGCCGGCCTACCAGCCTCATCCTCTTCTAGCCCCAGCTCTCACCTCGAAGAATCTGGGTTCACTCTTCCTTCGAGAGCAGAAGCTGCCGAATCGAGTCAGTCCTCATCTCTACCAGCTGTCGCCCCTGAAGTTCCTCTCAGCACTCATGCTCCGCGGCGGAGCTCGCGTCTCAGTGGGCGAGGCTTAACTGCAGAAGATCTCAATCGGGAAGCGGCAGATGCTCCTATGAGCAAGCCCTCTTCTTCAGCCATCCTCTCCACCTCCGCACCTACAGATTCAATGGAGGTAGACACTCCGCGGCGTGATGGGATGGAAGTAGATGATGAGCAGCCCACCGAAGGAAGCCCGATTGATCAAGAGATGAGCTCACGTCCATCAAATGTCGATGAGCCTCCGGTCAACGTTCAACCTGCGCAAGACGGCTCCAAAATGGAAGCACATACACCCCACGGCACTCGCATCGCAACTCCACTAGGCAGTCGTCCTGCTTCTGCCCTCAGAAAACACTCCAATAGCTCTCTTGCAGGCTTAGTCGCTAGTGGAGCAGCCAGTCGATCATCCAAACCGTCCTATGCCGCAGCTGTCAAGGCCGAGCCCAAGGATTGGCACTTAGCTTTCAGTCTGGGTGGTCAACCGATTCCACTTGATACGACAGTCTATGGTGCGGTATATGCTCATGAAACTCAACCCGGTCTACAAAGTCGAAACATGTGGACAAATGTCTACACGGTCACATTTCGGAAGGTCGATGGCCCAGTTCCAGCTTCGAATGAAGATGCATCATCAGTCGACCCCGAGTCTCGTGAAGAAGGTCTCTTACCGGCCTCCATCCTTGAGGGCTCTCAACAGGCGTCAATTTTGAGGCTTCTGCGAGCTTTGCACGGCTTGAACTTGGATTGGCACGAATTGAAGAACTCTGCTGAGCAAGCTGCAAGTAGCCTAGCGTTTGCCGAAAGCGTCTTCATCAACAATAAGCTGACTGCCAAACTCAATCGTCAATTGGAAGAGCCCATGATTGTGGCAAGTGCATGTCTACCTGATTGGGCTTGTGAGCTGCCGCAGCAATTCCCATTTTTGTTCCCATTTGAAACACGGTAAGATTCAGCGCCACTTAGCCTCTGCAAGATAATTTCTGACTCTCTCCTCCTTGATTTGATTCTTGCAGGTTTTCGTTTCTACAAAGCACATCATTTGGTTATGCGGTAAGCTGTCTGTTTCCTTCCGGGCTGTAGGCCGATCGGCGTATTTACCAATACACAATTTGCTTTAACTTCATAGCGCCTGATTCAAAAATGGGTAGGCCAGGCTCGGTCTGATAGCTCGCGCAGGGATGAGAATTTGGGTCTACTAGGTAGACTACAGAGGCAAAAGGTCCGGATCAGCCGGCAAAAAATTCTCGAATCACTCATCAAGGTTTTCGAGCTCTACTCTTCCTGTCGGGCAATGCTTGAGGTCGAATATTTCGATGAAGTTGGCACTGGCTTGGGGTAAGTGACATTTGTTTACCTTTGCTTGAAATTCAACTGACTCGCTGATTCTTGTGTTGTTCCCAGACCCACTCTAGAGTTTTTTTCATTAGCTTCCAAGGCTTTCGCCGAGAGACAGTACCAAATGTGGCGGGATCACGAAAGCGACTCTCAAGCGCTGCATGTTTTCAGTCGCACCGGTTTGTTCCCGTCTCCCATGGATGATCGGACAGCAGAAAGTGAAAAAGGTATTGAGAGGCTCAGGAAGTTCAAGGTTCTAGGTCAATTTATGGCTAAAGCATTAATGGACTCAAGAATTGTTGACATTTCACTCAGTCGAAGTTTTGCTCGCTTGGTATTGGATTATCCACTACCACTCACCATCGCCAGTGTCGGATTGGTTGACAAGTCTTTGGCAGCTTCATTGGAGCATTTGAACAAATACGTCATCGCAAAACACGCCATCGAAGCTGATAGTAGCCTTTCTGAAAGCGAAACCCACGCAGCAATTCAGCAAATCCGGATTGATGATGCCACAGTCGATGATCTAGCTCTAGAGTTCATTCTTCCGGGATATGACGTGGAGATGAAACCTGACAGTTCCGCAACCTTGGTCACAATCGACAACATTGAAGAATTCATCGAGTTGGTGATCTATTGGACCCTCTCAAAAGGTGTTACTCGACAGATTGAAATGTTCAAGGCAGGCTTCTCCATGGTTTTCCCAATCCGAGATCTCAAGAGCTTCACGCCCGATGAGATCGTCAATATCTTTGGAAATGCTGAATCAGAAGATTGGTCACCCGAAGGTAAATTGGCCATCTGATTTCCGCTTTTCGTCGCAACTGCCCTCACTGACTTTTCGATTCTTGCTTGTTTCTTTAGCCTTGACATCTGCCATGCGAGCTGATCATGGTTACAATATGGACTCGGCTGCCATACGAGGCCTGATCAATATCATGTCAACATATGACGTTCCATCTCGTCGCCAGTTTCTACAGTTCATCACTGGTAAGTCACGATTCGGATGTACTTGAGTGTCAAATATTGATCTTCGTGTCTCCTTTTTATCTATGTCGATCAGGTGCACCCAAACTGCCAATTGGTGGCTTCCGTGGCTTGCATCCTGCCTTAACGGTAGTTCGCAAGGCGGCTGAACCAGGACACTCCCCCGACGAATATCTTCCATCTGTTATGACATGTGTTAATGTGAGTTTTTCTTACTTTCTAAATCCACCGCAGATCCAAGGAATATTGATCATCTATGCTCTTGAATCCTGTAGTACCTCAAACTTCCCGAATATTCAAGTCAAGACGTGGCTGCTGAAAAGCTGACTATCGCGATAAAAGAGGGTGCAGATTCCTTCCACCTTTCATGAAGCTCAACCCTTGGTCAAGGGTACAAAAAGTTGGTTTCGGTCTTTTTTATTGTGATCCCTTTTCCCGTTTTACAACATGTTCAGGCGCTTTTTTTTAAATTTTATTTGAAATGCAACCAGATGGTTAATCGGTGACATCTGACTCAGTTACAATTTGCAATGTCCCTTAGACATCTCAGCGGGTTATTCATTTCGTCCTTTTTCCCATAGGATCTGGGTCCTAGACAATAAGTTGTTGGCCAGGACATCTTCTCACATGCCACGTTGCATATAACGTCCCGGTAGAAGAAAGAAAGAAAGTATCTTTTTGAGTGCTAGCTATTGTTTTCGCAATAATCACGTAATATACATAAATAAAAAAGTGTTTTAGCTGTACTTTCAAGCAAACTCCAATTATCAAGCCCCGGATAAATGTTTCAGGCCAGATCAATATTGAGATTGGACACTACAATATCTCGCGGGCGTGATCATTAACTACCTGGCCTGCTTCAAAGCTGGCGGAGATAGATGTACGTCATGGTGAAAGCAGAAAGAAAACAACATAGTTGCTGCTTGAGTGGAGTGAAAATCTCATTAGAATTCGATGTCTGTATCAGTGAAGGGCAATCCTCAACATATGTTGAGATATATATATATATATATATACAGCCCCATCAACCGTGCCCATCACGAGGTTTTTGACATTGGGAGGCTTTTTTGTCCAAGAGGTGCAAATCTTGAACTCCACTGTTTATCCGATATACTTCGTGATCGGGGGCGGTGGGGTGTGACGCACACCTAATACATGCATCTGAAGTTCAGGAATCGGTGGCAAAGTGGTTGGCCAAGTCCAGGTTCCGAGCCAGCTCTCGTCAGAAAGATCCCCACCCGCCCCGCACTTTTCTTAACCATCCCCACAGCATCAGGAGGGACGTTGTGCTTTTAGGTTGTCCTTCCGTTTGAGCTCGTCCGGCTATAGGCTTACTCCCTTGAATCACAACACTTGTGAATCGTTGGCGAATTTGGCTAGTGTGACTGATCTAGTTTGACGGTCCCTTCCGCTGCATGTTCGAACTGGTGGGTCTTCCGGCGCTCGACTGTCATGTGTCCTCCTATTATGCTGTAGAATCATTGCCCTTGTTCAACTGAGTGGCTAAAGAATTGGCACCGAAACTTTGTAGTTTGACGTTTGATTGCTTACATACTGACGATAAACGGATCAACCCTGCTCCGCAGAGCTCTCACGAGTACCGGGCCAGAACCTAACCTTGTTGAGCTGCGAGCAATCGGGATTCCTGGAAACGTTGACCATATTTATTTATATGTTTTAATATTTTTGTATCCTGTCCCTCAGAACCAATAATCGCCCGGAGTTTGGACTGATTGTTCTCAATCGAGACGATCGAACCATCCTTTTTTCACCTTCCTCATCACAATCAAAGTGGGAATGGCCATGCAGCCAGGAGGATCAGCTCGCAAGAAATCGCCTGATAATTTAGCTGATTCCAGCAGGGCCTTGCTCGAAAAGCGCGCATTGCTAAAATTGGATCTTTTGTAAGTCAAGTCTGCCTCAACCGTTAGTGTGGCTCGAAAGTTCAGGTGTTGATGGTTCGTGATGATGTCTTGTAAAATCAGAATCATCCCGATGTCGAGCTTGTTTTACTTCTTGAGCTATCTGGATCGGTCTAACCTTGGTATGTTCATCGACATAAATATTAGAGACCTGAGAAGGTATTCATAAATTATTTTGATTTCTCTGCGGAAAACCCAGGTAACGTGCGGATTGTAGGTACGGCCTGGCATGCAGATCTTTTTCTATGAAGGGAGCGATCTGTGATTTTCGATCTGACCAGGGCCATCACGTCTCTTGAAATACGCGCAACGCCAGGTCTTCAAAAAGACCTTCATATGAGTGACCAGGATTTCTCCATGGCGTTGACTGTGACTTTAATGTGAGTAACGAATTATATGACCGGTTCCAGTTAGGCCCTAGAACATCTAAACAGATTTATCCCGATGTCTGACTGTCTTTTTTCCGCGCCCCCCAAAGACCCTATATAGTTGAGTTAATCTTTCAACACGAGTTTCGAAGTGATCAGACAATTTACTGATTTGGAGTGCAGCTGGTGGAACTTCCCTCGAGTTTATTGGTACGCTGTTGTATTCACTTTTGTTACTCATCTGCGCTGATTTGATTTCTTTTCTAATGCTTTGAAAGATGCGTAGGATTGGTGCTGGAGTACAAATACCATCCATCGTTATCATTTGGGGGTTGGTGACTCTCTTGCAAGGCTTGGTTCATAGGTAAGTGCTGTGGTTTCACATTCAAATTTTCGGCTGTGATATCTTCATTGATTTGATCTCTTTAAACATTCTTGTGCGCACATGTTGGATCAGCTACCATGTATTACTTACAACTAGGTCAGTCGAAAAACAGCCGTCTTCACATATACAAATGAAAGGAAAAATATTGCAGAAAAAAAACAAAGCAATGCAAGACTGTTTATTAACTTTGATTCTTTGATTCTGATTCCAGATTCTTTTTGGGCTTGCTTGAGGGTTTGTGACACCCAAGAAACAATTCCGCAATCCCAGAGCTTACATAGAAGGTTAACCGTTTGTGCATGATTTTTGCAAGGTGGACTCTATCCGGCGCTTGTGCTTTATTTATCAATGTTTTACAGTAGGTCAGTACAGCCAATAGGCTTTGAAGATCTGTTCAATAAATGCTAATCAATTATTGCTGTCGACGGTACAAATGAAATTATAGGACCGAGCTGCAACTTCGCATTGCCTTCTTTTTCAGCACAGTTTGTTTAGCTGGAGTTACTTCTGGTTTATTGACATATGCGATCATTAAACTCGACGGGTATTGGGGACACTCAGGTTGGAGTTGGGTTTTTCTAGTGCGTCTTAATTTTCTCTTTTTGCAGTGCCGCTGGAAGAATTCATATCTAATGAGCCACTCGGAACTGCTTTACATTACCTCGTTTCAAATTTTGACGCTAAATGATGTAGATCGAGGGTTCTATCACATCGGTTTTTGGTATGATAGGTCTCCTTTTACTACCATCAGACATCAAGACGGTTAAATTTCTAACCGAAGAAGAGCAAAGGTATTGAAATTGGCCTGGACCTCTTTGATTCATGGATAGACTTGTAGGATGCTTACCCTCACAATCCTTTTCCTGACAACTTCCAGCATTGTCGTCTCAAGACTTCAAAGTAACGATATATCCAATCTCGCGTCGCCTACGTCCTTCACCAAAGAGTTTCCTGCCAAGTCGACTAGTCAACAGTTCTGGGAAGCTTTGAAAAGCCCACATGTTGTCATTCTGACCGCGGCCCATTTCTTTTCAGCATTCAACATCTCCAGTCTGGCTTATTTTTCCCCAACAAGTCAGTCATAGTTTTCTGTTTGACTTTGCTTTTCTTCTTTTAATGATTGGTTGATAGATGTACATATCCTTACAAAATCCATTGTGAATGTTCTCAGTTATCAACTCGGTTAGTTTTGATCTAGGAACAACTTGATGTTTCTTTGGCTGACCAGTATACTTAATTACCCAACAGTTTGGTTACTCTCCCAGAGCCACTCAGCTTTATTCAGGTACATGGAAACACTCGAGATTGAACTATCTTTGCTTGATCAACAGTTTTCTGACACAACTGTAACATCATGATGCTTCTTTCAAACAAAAAGTCCCCCCATTAGCTTTAGCTTTTGTAGGCCTCTTGAGCGTCTCATATTTATCAGATCGCTATCAAGCTCGAGGACTGGCAACTATCTGTTGCGCAACACTTTCGCTTTTAGGCTTTGTGATCTTTTACGCTTCAGATAACTATAAAGTGCGATATGGCTCCCTGTTTCTTTCTACACCCGGTACGTATGGAGTGGTGCCATCCCTTGCCGCATGGGCAACAAACAACAGCGCACCACACAGTCGTAAAGCAACCACTATTGCCCTGAATGCTATATCAGCAGGTCTGGGTGGACTCCTGAGTATTTGGGTGCGATTCTTACTTCTGTTTCTGGGTTTGATGTCCATAGTGGAGGATCTAATCAGCTGATTCATTTTTTAATTTTATTTTGGGGGTGCAGATTTTTGTTCTAGGTAAAAAACCAAGATATTACCTTCCAACAGGATTGAGTATAGCCTTGTGAGTTTAGTTAAGCAGTATTTTCTCAAGATACAAGTTTTCTCAGTTTGAGGATCCTGTAAATTTGATTTATCAAGAAAATAAATTGATGTGGCACTGATGAAACCTGTTTTGATAGCGGAGTTTTGCTCATAGTATGTTGTGTTCTGAACATCCTTTGGCTCAATCATGCACAACAGCATAAATCCAAAAAAAGGAATGAAATACTTAGCAGGTTCACAATTCATCACTCAGAAGGCGGCACTATTCAAGACGAGGGTTATCAAAATAGACAAGAGTTACTTTCAGCACAAGCTTGGGACCATCTAGGAGACCAACATCCAGACTTTGAGTATGCATGTTAATAATGTATATTGTTGTTGCTTTTGAAATTTGGTTTTACTGCACCAAAGAATTGGATGTTAGATTCGTGATTATTTCATCCCCTCCACTCCCCATTAGAATTATCACTAGAGAAACCATCACCAGGAAAATTGTCAGAGCAACTCCACTGCAGGGGACTCAGTCCCCAAAATTTGACCTTGCTTGACTTCGGCACATATTTTAGCTCCTTGCCTCAAGTCTCTTTTGTACTGCAGAGTCTCAGAGTTGCACCTTGGGGTTGTGAAAGTGTATCCCCCTGATCACCCCTACATCATGATTCATTTGTGATAACTAACAGGCACACTACACAGAGACCAATCATATTGTACATTTTTCCATAACCAGTGTTGGTTGTTGAACATTGTGGAACTGCTCAGCAAGTGAGTAAAGAGCTTAGAGGGGATAAATAGCTAATAAGACTATGAAATAGTAGAATTAGTATTGGTGTGTGGGTGAGACTGCCCTCCTGTCTAGCTTGCGGGAAAGTTACACTAAGAAAAATAAGAGTGTGGCTTATTTCTAAATTTATCTTAGTGTTGATACTACTGTGGTTGTTGCTTAAGAATACCTGTTGAGGAGGTAAGGAGTTTTATGGGGTGTTCTGAGTAATAAGGGTTTCTGTAGGGTTTCTCTGTTAAATCTGTTATAAATTCTCTCTGGCACTCTGATATTATAAGTCTCTTTGGTTTCTCTGGGCTCTGATAAAAGGTACGTTGATTTCTCTAAATCTTTCAAGGAGGTGAGAATGGCTAAGCAATATTTCTGAATTACTTTTCTATGGCCAAAATTGAGGTAAGGGAAGTTCAGGGGCTCTAATAATCTCTGGATCTCTTAATCAAAGGTGATGAAAGCTGAGTAATTTCTCTGATTACTGTTCTGTAGCTAGCATGAGGAGGGAGAAAGGAAAACATGAGTCAGAGGGGCCTCTATTTATAGACAAATGGTTCTGCAGTACATGGGATTTTGGCCTGAACACAAGTTCGTCTGAGAAGGGTACTTCTAGAGTGGTTTTTACTACTCTGAGATGGCCCAATCTGATATGAATTAATCTCTAAGTGCCTTTCTAATACAAGAGGTTGTAAATCTACTATGTAAGGCCTATTCTTAGATTAATTGCTATGAGAATGGTATTCTTAGACTAATTAGTATAAGAGTTATTTTCTAAAACTAGTCTATGAAGTACTTTCTGATCAATACCTTGATTTACCAATCTAAGATGGATGTAGTTTCTCTTTATGTGTTTTTACAGTCTATTTGTATAATTATTATTCATAAGGATTTATGTATTTTAGGCCTGACTTGGGCTTTATCTTAGCTATGTTTTAACCCAGTAATTATCATACATTGTATTCTATATTTTACCCCTTCTTCTCTAACATCTTAAACACTATTTATGTGTAATAAAATGTTTTTAACTAGATTTATGGTTTTGATCAATCTCACCACATCCTCCCCCAACTTATTTGTCTGCCCTCAGACAAGCTCTCTGAATTGAAAAAAATTAAATGTTATATGTAAAAATCTTTGAGAAGGAAAAGAAAAGAAAAAAAATAAAAGATAAGGGGAAAGGGAAAAGAATAATTTATCCAAAGGTTTTCATCCTGTGTTCTGGAAAAATCTTATCTTTTTTTTTTTTTTTTTTTTTTTTTTGAAAGTTGCTCCAGGTTTGCCTTCAGTTTTTTTACGAGGGGCTGAGTTTTCAAATTTTCAGAACCAAGATTCTGATTTCTCTAAACTTGGTTCCTTCCGCTGAATTTTTGCTTCAATTTTTTTTGCGCAGCAAATTCGGTTTACGCTTAACCGCAGTCTGGTTCTATTATGACTTTGGAATTCTTCCCACTTTGTATTCTCTATCCTCAATCAGTCGCCGAACTTGTCTTTGGTCAACGATGAGCGTTCAATCATGGAATAAATCTGGAAGGTGCGAAATTTCTCTCATCGATCCTTCTGATATTTTCTAGTCTGATATCGATTCCTTTCCTTTTGCTTCGAGGATCTACTTGACTGATGAGCTTTGAAACTGCTTTCTTGATCAATTTTGCGGTTCTCCTCCATTTCATTTTCCTTCCATCTCCCTTCGTCTCTATTCGCAAACGCCTCCGATATCCATTTCCTAGGCGAACCCGATTTGTCAGCCACAGAGTACATGTCACAGTACCTTTCATGTACCAAGTAACTGCAACACCTGTAGTACTTATCCATAATGTTGATTACCTTTACCTCTTGTTATCTTATTATTATCATTAACTTATCTTATCTTATTTACATTACATTTATCTTATCTGTTAATTACTTATCTATTAAATACATACCTGTGTTCTACATAAGTAATTATCACTTACCTTTCACTCCTTTGTCCGTGAAATACCTGTACCACAAGTCATCCCTGTTCTACAGTATTTTCACGGTCAAATATTATTACAAATAAATATGTACAAGTATTAAATAGTAAGTATTAAGTGTCAATAGAATTAATACATTCAATACATGCACTGATCACAATTATGACTACATTATTAGAGGATCTGTTAAGTACACGCATCAAGAGCTACTAGTACATTGATCAACTAGTACACAATTATGATGTCACTTACAGATCATGACAAATAATGATCAGTCACTCAATTGATGTGCTCATTCTCCTGACCAAAGCTCCCTTGATTCTGAGCGCTCATTCTTTCCCCCTTCAGTATTCTGGAACTAATAATCCGTGCCTCTTTCACTGATTAATCCCCAGAATATTCAGACACCAGTTAAACCAACGGTGGGCCGCTACGCTACGCTACACTAAATGGCCATTTAGCGTTAGCGTAGCTGCTGTTGCAGCAACCTTTTTTTGTGTAGTGTTAGTTTGCGCTACAGCCCACTACACTACGCTAACTGTTAGCGGCGCTAATAACACACCTTTTTTTGGGTAGTGTTAGTGCACCGCTACAGCCACTACACTGCTTACGCTACGCTACAGGGCTGTTAGGGGCAAAAAAGGCCAAAAAACCGCTAAAAAGCGCTGTAGCTTGGTGTAGCGGACGCTTTTTTGTGCCCCATGGGTGTAGTGTTAGTGTGGATGAGTGAAATAAATCTAACACTACGCTAACAGCTAACACCCACTGGCGCCCTGCGTGCGTAGTGTTAGTGCAAATTTTCAGATTTGCGCTAACACTACACTACATGTTAGCTTATTTTAGCTACACTACGCTACACTAACGCTACGGTTAGTGTAGCTGGCCCACCGTTGGTTAAACCAGTTAACATTTATATTGATACATTACACGTAACAAACATAAATCTTGTCTACATTTATTGTTCTTAAGCTTCAGTACTCTTACTCAACTTATCCACAGTATTCATAGCCTTGCTGAATATTCCCATCAACAATACCTGTTAATCTTCAACTAATTTTGTTAAAGCTTAATAAGTATTGTTAGCCCATTCCCTTTTGGGAATAACCAAATCAATCCCAGGTGAGTCTTAGTACCCTGGATGCCTATTAATACCTTGTATTGATCCGGATGCGCTGTTGATAGCAAGCCTCTCAGTAAAGACCATACTGATAGAGTGAAACCTCCTCTTTACAGGACTGGTATTAATCACCCACTACCTAACACTCACCACGCTCAAAAACTTCAGTCAACTCATAGTAACAACCTTTTTACTATTAAATACTCAGGTTAGTTACCCAGAGGCTGACACGATTCCAAAGTTGTTTCCAATTTTCCTGGCCTCTCATCTCGGATTTAGTCTCATACTAAGGTATGTCTTATCATCTTCCGATTTTAATTGCATGAAGAGAAAAATGAAAATGTTCATTCGAACGACGACTTTGGTTTTCCCTCCATTCGAATCAGAAACCTTGTTTACTTCGCTTTTAAGCGCTGATCGAGTTTTTAGATTTTTAGCTTTGTTTATTTGACTGGGTACTAGATCTGCACCGGGTTTTCACTCCCTTCTAGCGACTAGCTTATCACTTCTCTTAGATAAGTTATTTTTTTACTCGACTCTTTGAGATTCCTTGATGTTCAAATCTCTTCGGATGAAATTTCAGGCATTTCGACTCAAGCCTTGTCTTGGAAAGAAGCAATCTGATTTCATGTCCTCTCTTTTACTTTTTCAATAATCAAATCTTTGACTGACTCTCATGCTGAATTCTTTGATCTCGCATTTCCAAACGATGACAGTAGCCGACTCGATTAAAAATTCATCTATCTACTCTACAACGACTTCAACCACCTTCTAATCTTAAATGAGTATTTGTTTCAGGCTGCGCCCCCAGCTTTTCTCCTCTCGACTCCTTCCTCGCCCTTGATTTTTATTTTAAAAAACAGTCCTACCCACGTACGCCATTCCTTCCAGCTCTCAGTCCCAGGTCATCTCGATTCCGCCACCCCGCTTGATTCAAAACGAAATCAAAGGTATATCGCTTTCTTTCTTCCAATTCCACCCTTTTTGATACCTATTACTGATTTCACCGTTTGTTTCTTTTCCCTCTTTGTTTACTAGGTTTGTTTGACATTCTCTGTTCTTTGCTGACTTAAACAAAGGCGTCCTTACTCGACCTGAGTCCGCTGACGTGACGTTTCTCTCCGATACCGTTTTGGAACGCCCATCGGGAAAATATTGATCTTGGTATGTTCTTCTTACCGCTTGTTTGCTTACTTCCCCTCAACTTGCAAAACTCGCTAATCTATCCTTGCGTCGCTATAGCCAAAAGATCGTACTTGTTTGAATCTCATCATTGCCGGGGAACATATATCGCTGATCCCAAGAAAATTCAAGGTAAAGTTTTTTTATATTTTTTTCAATTTGATTCGATTGTTTGATTCTTCAGCTAACTTTTCTGTATCACTTGTCCCTTTGTGTATATATATAAAGGCTCCTGTTTTGATCGATCTGGTCTCGACCCGACCCACGCTTGAACCAACGGTGAAACCAATATTAGCTGAGTATTGATATTGGGTGGTATTGTATATGAATACCACCCAATATTTGGGCTAAGTATAGTATTGGGCCCCTGGCCCAATAATTTTTATTCATGGGCACATGTATTGGGCAGCCAATAAAATAAACTTTATTCATCATGAACCTATTGGCTCGGCCAATAAAATAAAATAATAATATCTGAATTTATTGGTGGTATTTCAAAAAATTCATCAAACCACACCCTCTCTCCTTGCAATACTG